TCCCATCCCTTTAACCTAAACTTCGTATACCTATATCATCTTGGAGGAGAAAGAAGAAAGCGTTCAAGTTCAGCATCATGAGCCAGCTGTGATCAGCCCTTAGCCCAGGGCACTCCAGCCCAGCCCCCACCATTTCTTCCTATTACCTCATTTCCCCTTTGTTTTTGTCAGCCACAGGAAGATGTTCCTTCCTTTCAGACACAACTAAAGAGAAAAGTGCCCATCACTATCCCCAAGTTCAGGGGGAAAGGGTGGGCTTGGGAACAGGCAGAAGCAGAGCTGCTTGGCTTACAGTGTCATTAGGAAATGGCCCCAGGACCCAGGGTTTCCTTCTGAGACTCTGAGTCACTGAAGGGATGCGCTGAGGTGAAGAGGTAGAGACCTCTCCTTCCTCAGTGAGACCCAGGCAAACTAACAAAGCAGAATAGAGGCAACAAGCCTTCCTCCCTCCTCTCGTCAACTGTGCTGGTGCTAGTCTACAGCTTTGAGGAGCTGTGATGGAATGGTAACCAAAGCCACTGTCAGAAGCCCAATTAATAATAGTCAGGGTGTCCACTGCCCCAGGTAGGCAGTCCCAGGATCAAGGCTACAGAATGTCATCCTTTTAAGCAGGGAGCTTTGTGAAGCACTTCAAATTCCCAATTGCAGCCTTAGGACACAACCATCCAGCTGCCCGACTCAATGCCCTAGTACTGAGGCCGAAGTCACAGCTCAAATAAAGGGCTACAACTGTAAAAGGACGAAATGCTGGCCTGGAGTAACTCATTAAAAGCCAACACCGCTCTGGATGGTGTGGCTCAGTGGATTGAGCGCCAACCTGAGAACCAAATGGTAGCCAGTTTGATTCCCAGTCAGGACACATGCCTGGGTTGTGGGCTAGGTCCCCAAAAGGGGATGCTCAAGAGGCAACCACACATTGATGTTTTTCTCCCTCACTTTCTCTTTCCCTTCCCCTCTCTAAAAATAAATAAATAATATCTTTTCTTTTAAAGCCAAAACCTGGGACATGAGCCCAAGGGGCTACTTATTTGGTCACATAATAAGTAGTTCAAATACATGCAGCTTTTAAAAACATATTCAAGAAAGACAAACTCAAAATTAAACATACTCTTTAAAAAATTGCCTTGGCCTGAGATTCTTTGCTGCTGCAGCTCGAGCAGAAGCCAATCCTGCTGTTTTCCATCCACAGAACTACTCGTAGCTGGAAAAAGATGACAGTGACCAGTGGAGGGAAATAGGGAAGCTTCAATCCCTGCAGAAATTGTTCCAGGGAATTCAAGATAGACACTTAGATGTTAAGGTTGGCTTCAGAGCTGCCAGGACTACAGCTGACTGGAAATCTTTCAGCCCTGTCACACCAAGAACCTGACTGCTACTTGGATAAGAAAAGGAAAGGACAGCAGGGCATACTATTAAGATCAGTGAGCCATGTCCCTGGGCCAGATAGAGACAATCAGTCCAGTTCCTTGGGGCACTTCTAGGCATAACTCCAAACTGGTTGACCTGTGACATAAAAGGACATGGGAATAAATTAACATCAGATACTAGATACTCTAAACAGTGGTCAGTCACTTAGTAGGGCTCAAATCTCTGACATTGCTCCTAAATTATGCTAACGTAAGCCTTTTCTTTCTTTTTTTGGTAAAGATTTTATTTATTTATTTTTAGAGAGGGAAGGGAGGAAGAAAGAGAGAGAGAGAGAAACATTAATGTGCAGTTGCTGGGGGTCATGGCCTGCAACCCAGGCATGTACCCTGACTGGGAATTGAACCTGCAACACCTTGGTTCACAGCCCATGCTCAATTCACTGAGCTACGCCAGCCAGGGCTAGCCTTTTCTAATCCAAAAACCAGAAGAGACTCTTAAGATCAAGTGTTCTGTTGCTACAGGCTGGAAAGCATCTCTGTCACCTAGCAGCAAGACCCTGCAAAGGGGCCCCGTAAAAGAACTGCTGAGTCAGGTGCTGCCGGCAGCTGGCTTGGAGATTCAGAGAGAGAGGTACCATCAAGGTGAAGTGGTAGATGATAAGGCATTCAGGCAGAGGGAATCCCAAGTCCTCATATTTTCTTCCCTTCTTGGAAATAATTTAGTGAGATGGTTGAGAGAGAGTTTAAATGAGCCAGATGAAGAAATTTAAAAAAAGGAGAGAAGAAATCATGTTCCCAATAGGCACTGAAATCAAAATGATTTGTTGTGGTAATAAGTCAGAGGCAATTTGAGGGCCTGACATAAACTAGTCATCTTGGATGCCAGACAGTCCTCTAACTGGCCCACGTCAGGGAGACAGGTGATGATAAAGCTCAAACAGCAAGGTGGAACCACCAATGGGCTAAAACCAGAAAGGCTTCTGAGTAAGAAAGTATCTACTTTTCTTTCTTAAAAAAAAAACTTCCAGTTTTCATCTTTATCATACAAATTATACATCTTTACACACACACACGTGCGCACACACACACACATGTGCGCACACACCACATACTCTCAATCCTGGGACATCTGGAAATGCATCTGGACGTAACTTCAGCACATACCCAACTCCCAGCGCTGGTCTCTCAGGTAATAAGATGACCTTTCCCCTGCTGTTAATTTCAAACCTAAAAAGGGGGTCTGCTCCAAGTTCAGAGTCCTTTGCACTAGGTCGACAGATGAGGATCCTTGAACAGGTAGGACCCAGTTGACCGCAGATCCCCTAGAGAGGAAGGAGAGGGTGGGGGGCCAGCCACAAAGAGGGGACCCGGACTGAAGCAGGTTTGGGACCAGGTGCCGAAGGAGGGCTGCTCTCTCCTCACTCTGCCTCTTTTTAAACTTCTTTAATTTTTTTGTGTTTTTTTAAGTTTGTTTTAATCATCATAAAAAATGAAAAACCATACCAACACTTTTGAAGTTCCCTTCCCATACTCCTTCACCCTATTTAGGATGGTAAATTTGTCCTCACAACCCGCAGAGGCAGAAGCGGGTTGGGACGAAGACTCTGAAGGCCACCAGGAGGGAAACATGAGGCTGCTGTTGTCAGGATACAGGGGTTGGGCCCGGTTCTTACTAGAATGTCTTTTCAGATTAGATCCTTCATTGGCATCTTCTTACTCTTCTTTCTTCTCCAATCCTGGATAGGCTGCAGCTTCGGCACATCATCCACTGTCCCGAACATGATACAGAGTGCACAGGCTTAGGGATTGTCTAGCACCCCTTGACAAATTCGATGTTGAGTTTCCCTGTGAAGGTGGACACCTCTCCCTGGACATTCAACTTCCTTTTTCTGATGCTCATAGGATGATTTCATCACGATCTGTGCTGTGCCCAACACGATCAAAGTTATCCACGTCCTTCACCACGACATGGCGCATCGCACATCAAATACCTTCTCCTGGGACTTTGCAAAGTAGATCTCGGCAAATTTCAACACCAGCACATAGTCCCTCTCCTCCTTACTGGGCACTTCGTAGTCCAAGGCCTCCTCATTGTACTGCTCTGTTTTGGTACAGGATCTGGTCCTCGGGGTTGGAACGGAGGATTGGTAGTTTTACGCCACAGTCAGAGGCTCTGCCAACCGGTACTCCAAAGGGTCCTTGCGGAAGTGGATCCTGGGCACGTCCACATGCGTTTTGCCACCGGCGTCGACACCCAAAGAATGGTCTCCAGCAGCCCTGCTCCCACCAAACCAACCACCCTGAGCCCCGGGTCGCAGAATGGCGGTGGCAGCAGCAGCAGACGTGGCAGGAGCACCACAGGGCCTCCCTCAACCGCCCGAGGCCCCCAGCTTGGCGGCCACCAAAGCGAAGGCAGCCTCCGCAAACCCTCATCCGCAGCTGGCCTCCAGGCCCCCTGGGCTCAGAGAAACAGCGCCACGGGCAGCTCTGCCTCATTGGTTGGCGAGGACATGCCATACGGAGGCCTCCTTCTCAGCAATGGCTGTAAGATAACTCTTACAGAGCTTAATCTATGCCCCCCAAACCAAGCAATGGAAATAATCCAGGTGTAAGAACCGTTAGACTGAGGAAAACACTGGGTCTAGAGTTGTACTGTCCAATATGGTGGCTACTAAATAACAAGTAGTTATTTAACTTCGAATTAAAATTTTTAAATTCAGCTCTTCAGTCAACTTAGCCACATTACAAGTGCACATGGCCTGTGGCTGCTATACTGAAAGTGCAGATACAGAATATTTCCAACATTGCACAAAGTCCTACTGGACAGTGCTGCTCTAGGAAATCAGAAGAGACACGCCACACCTGGGAAACCCCAAAGTTTCCTAAAGAGGGCTACAAAAAGTGGTGGTTTATCGTAGCAAAAAAATAAGTTTTCTTTTCCATTCTTTGGCTATTTCCATTCCTGAATCTTATTTTCTCTTCATCTCCTAGAAAATATCTCTTTTCTATCTTTTCACATTTTCCCTACTGCATTTCTCAGCCCCCTTCTCTCACTATTTTCCGTAGTAACAGATATGCCATCCACATTTAGAGATTTCATAAGTTTACTGAGGTTAAAATATTTTTGTAACTTCTCAATGTTGAAATGTAAGGAACTGAATAATTCTAATATTCCCTCCCCCCGCCCCAATACAATATTTAGATGAGATTTTTTTAAGGTATGTAATCTTTGGTGTATTTTCTTTCCTGGGATTATCTTTGCTTAGAATTCGTATGGAAAGGATAATGCAATTCTAGTACCAGACTCAGGTTTCCCTCCATCAAAAAAGGTGGGCTTTGTCCTCCAGGCGGAGAGATGTGTGCGCGACCTCAGGCTGAACTTGTACTGCCACCTAGCGGAGAGAAGGGGCACGGGCTTCCTCGCCTGTTTGGCGGTTGCCAAGCGACGGAGGCAGTGTCCCGCCTTAAGGAGGCGGGCACAGACTGACGTTGCTAAAGGTGCTGCAATAAAGCCACTTTCTATTGGCTGAAGCGTTCTCAGCCCTCCCCATGAACCAATGAATCAATGCAAACGGTGACGTTGACTCTATGCGACTCCTCCCCCTAACCCCCTCGATTCTCTAGCGACGCGTCTGACGACCGCCAAAATCCCACTTGAGACTGTAGGGGATCTCCACTCCCTCATGTGTACCTCCCCGCCGGTGCTACTGCAGGTGTTCTTCCTGATGATCCTCGAGGGCGTCCGTCCTCAGCCCTCTCCCTCCCCGTCAGGGTCAGTGTCCACCTCTTCGGACTTGGGGCCAGGGATGCAGGGCGGGACCCTTCAGTCCTCTTCGGAGTGGCCTGGAACTGCTAGGGCCGTGCCTGGGATCTCTACGGTAGGCCCTACTGTCGCGACCCCTTCGACGCCTGAAAATAAGACCATGGACCTCTTCCCAGGTGAGGGAAGGAGATGTGGGTATGGAACCTACAGACTTAGATCTAAAATTCTGTGAACAAAGTGAATTGCTGCAGAGTGAGGACTGGGGCTGTCAGAAGCGGGGAATTCGCACTTGGAAGAATTTAGAGATCCTCATCCCTATCTCTCTGCTTTATGTTTTACCTTCATAGCCTTACCGATCTGTGTCTGCGACTTGACTCCTGGTACCTGCGATATAAATTGCTGCTGCGACAGAGACTGCTATCTAATCCATCCCAGAACAGTTTTCTCCTTCTGCCTTCCAGGCAGCGTGAGGTGAGCTGTGTTGCGTAGGTTGAGACCTAAAGGGAATCGGGGCCCTAGAATAGGTAATATTTGGAAGTTGGAAGAAGTTACTCTCCTGCCTTCCTCCCCCATTTCCACTCCTGTAAGTGGAGTTACCTTGGTTTTTCCCAGGAGTGATGTTCCTCTTCCGATTCTTTCTTTATTGAATACCATGGCCATCCAGGCCATCCAGTAGACTAGCTCCCTCGTGTTGTCCCGCGGCTGCCCAGGGAGTTTTCTCGTTGGCATCAATCTGACTGACATCCATGGGGCAACCTTTTTTGGACCTAACTCTACACTTCTAAATATATCTGTTCTTTATCCTGTTTCCTCATAGGTCTTCAAGTTGGGTGTGTGTGGACAACTCTCTTATCTTCAGGAGTAATTCCCCATTTCCTTCGAGGATTTTCAGGGATTTAAATGGAATTAGGCAGTTCTGTGTCCATGTGAACAACTGTGAGTAGAAACATGTTGGGTGTTCTTATTGCCTAACATTCACTAAAAGCTGGCTTTGTCTCTGTTATTATTATTATTATTATTTTTCGTCCTTTGAATTTCTGTCATCTACCTCTCCACCTGCCCCCTCTCTCTCTTATTAGTGAATATTTGCAATTTCTTCTCCCGTATTGGCTATGGGTCAGAAAACCCACACAACTTTAATTTTTTAAAGATTTTTTAAAATTTATTTATTTTTAGAGAGGGAAGGGAGGGAGATGGAGAGAGAGAGAGAGAAAGAGAGAGAGAGAGAAACATCAATGTGCGGTTGCTGGGGGTCATGGGCTGCAACCCGGGCACATGCCCTGACTGGGAATCGAACCTGCGACACTTTGGTTCGCAGCCCACGCTCAATCCACTGAGCTATGCCAGCCAGGGCTTCAACTTTAATTTTTTAAAAAATACTTTTGTATATTTATTTTTAGAGAGAGGATGAGGAGGGAGAAAAAGAGAGAGAGAAATATCAGTTGATCAGTTGCCTCTCACATGCATCTCAACTGGGAACTGAACCCAAAACCTAGACATATACCCTGACCCAGAATTGAACCGGTGATCTTTAGCTTTGTGGGATGACATTCAACCGACCTGGGCCAGAACATTAATTTTAATCATCCCTGTTAGCGCAGATAATTACAGATAGGTTCTATTCCCCCATTTGATACACTCTTCATGAAGGCACTCACTGACTCTGCAGTAACTGACACATAGAAGGCACCAAATAATACTTCAATGAATGTCCTTGAAAAATGAGTATACACCAGCCTTATTTTTGTTTTATGAAGCAACAGTGTAGGGGAAAGAGCTTTAGGGTTGTATCTCAGCCTTGCCATTTACTTATCAGCTGCACAGACTTGGGCTAATCCCTTAGCATTTCCAGTCTCATTCATCAACTACAAAATGAGAAATGACAACACTAACCCTGGATGTGAAAGTGCTCTGTAACTTTAGAGTACAGCAGCAATGAGAAGTGGTTGCCGTTATTAAGGTTTTAAATAGACTTATAAATTTGCTGGTGATAGCTATAACATTTCTAAAGTTATGAAGCTATATGTCTCTTTTTTAATGTTTAAGAAACAAAATAAAGTTCCCCTGCAAAACAGAGTTAAGTGTTTCTTACACCCTGAAAGTTAACTGATCCTAATTTCAGTTAAAAAAGAAATAGAAAAAACTAGATTTGTTTTAGAAAACAACCAATATTTGATTTGGGGGAACTTATTTTTTTTTAATTTATTGATGAAAGAGAGAGAGATTGATTTGTTGTTCTTCTTATTCTTCTTATTTATGCATTCATTGGTTGTTTCTTGTATGTGCCCCGACCAGGGATCGAATCTGCAGCCTTGGTGTATCGGGATGATGCTCTAACCAAATGGGCTACCCTGCCAGGGCTGGGGGAACTATAAGTCTGCAGCTGCCCCATCCTTTCCAAATCTCCCATTGACTTCTAGTTCCAGCCTTACAATTGTGTTCCAGAGCTACTGTAATAGCATCCAACTGGTTCTCCTTGCTTTTAACCTCCCCTCCTGCCCCCTGTACCATGCTGCCACTGCTTCTGGACCAGTGGTTTTGAACTTACAACACCTGAGAGTCACTCCCTTGGAAACTATAGGGCACTTTGAATTGTTCAATTTATATAAACATTGTGTCTCCCAAGATAAATTATCTGTACCTAGAAAGGATAGATCAGGTCTGTGTTTGCTCAAAAGGCTTAATATTTGCTGATAATAATCTGTTAGAGTGGATGCTCTTAGAGTATGTGCAGCATGATGGAGTGGGAGAAAGGAAACCAGGAATCAGGAGACCTGTGTGTGCTCCAGTCCCACCTCTGCCAGATGTCTCTGCGGCCTTCTGCAACTCATTTACCTCTCAGGATCCAAATTTCCTTATGGGATTGGGCCAGGCGGTTTCTAGGCTTTCTTCCACATCTGGAGTTGTAGCAATATAAATACTTTTAAGCTCTGTTCAGTGTAGTGCATACCATGTATGATGGTAGAAATTTTTAGGCAAACATTTTAGAGTTTTAGACAAAATCTCTGCTTATTATCTTTAGCCTGTGTTTCTTATCTACACTGTCCCTTCTTACCACCAGTATCCCTGCACCTACGTGAGATGCAAAATGTTAACTTTCTCTTATTCTTTTAAGCCATGAAAAAATAGCCACGTAGATATTTAATCTCAATTTATCTTCTTTCTTAGCTTAACTTTAACTTTCATTTCATTTATAAGGGCAGAAATAACTGCAGTTTATATGAGGTAATTCTTCCCCGTGGTTTCCAGGGTGTGCATTCTGAGAGAAATGTTGAACAGCTCCTGGAAGTTTTAAAGTTTGAAGATTCAGGTTAGAGGTCGGGGAGGTGGTCTGCAAACCATCAGCATCAGCATCGCTTGGAGAGCTTGTTCACATGCAGATTCTGACAGTGTCTGGGGAGTGGCTTAAGATTCTGAATTTCTGACAAACTTCCAGGTGGTGCTGGGGCTGCTAGTCTGTGCACTGCACTTAGTAGCAAGGATCTGGGAGGTAAAGACAGGGTGAATAGTCTGGAAGTCCTCAGAATTGAGAATTGTGTTCGTTTGTTGCTGTATCAGAAAGCTGAAAAGTCAGATAATTAAGACTGATTGCAGAGGATAAAGGTCAGGCTTTTGTTATGTGGATTCCTCATTAGCTTTCAGTGATGAAGGTCTTGATACCTTTTTGAATCTGTCCAAATGACCATAATTATATGAAGAATTAAAGGATTTATCTTGGTGCTGTTTCTGCTATGTTAACAGAAAACTTGGGTGGTAAAAGCAGAGAATTATTCATTACCAGCCAATCTCTGGGTAGGGTGCAATGCCAGAGGCCTTTTCCTGCATCTTTCTCCTGTTCTGAAGTGTCATAAGGAGATGGCTGCAGGAGCTTGGGTAGATGTGTGTGTGTTGCTATGATATAAATTTAGAATTGTGAGAGAAAGCACCCCTTCAGAGTATCTGAAATTTTGAATGTAGAAATTATAAGGTGAAAAGAATAAAACGTGACAGATCCATATGCTTGAGAAATGGAAACATTCTTATTAGGACTGGTCAGTTTTAGTTTAGAGGGAACAGAAAGATCTGAGGACGAATCAGATACTGTCTCCAACTTTGCTACGTTCCTGTGGAAACAGTACCATTTTGTTGTACTAGAGACTCATCTAGTGCGGGGCAAATGTTGACTTTATTGAGCCTCCTGTTTTTATCACAAACTGCTGATCATACACATTCCTGGCATCAGAGACTTGGAACTAACTGGAATTCATTGGCCATATTCTTTTTTTTCTTGTTTTTAAGATTTTTAATTATGTAGATACGACAGCTAGGTGATACATTTACATCATTTAAAAAATTTATCTAACTGGGGTTTAATAAAATTATATAGGTCTCAAATGTACAGTTCTAAATATAATCATCTGTATACTGCATTGCATGTTCGCCACTCAAAGTCAGATCTCCTTCTGTCACCATATATTTGGCCCCCTTTACCCTTTATTACCCCCCTACCTCCCTTTCCCTCTGGCAGCCACACACTGTTGTCCGTGTCTGTGAGTTTCTGTGTTTTCTGTCTTGTTTGTTCATTTGTTGCTTTCAGTTTTATATCCCACATATGAGTGAAATCATGTGGTTCTTGGCTTTTTTTTTGTCTGACTTACTTTGCTTAGCACAAAATCCTCAGGGTCCATCCACGTTGTCACAAATGGCAACGTGGATGGACCCACGAAATGAAAAAGTATTTCATCTTTCCTTATGTCTGAGTAGTATTCCACTGTGTATCTGTGTACCACATCCTTACCCAATCTTCCATCGACGGAACTTTGGTTGTTTCCATGTCTCGGCCCCTATGAATAATGCTTCGATGAACATGAGGGCACATGCATCTTTACAAATAAATGTTTTCAAAATTTTTGGATAGGTACCCAGAAGAGGGGTTGCTGGCTCATGTGGTAACTGTATTCTTAATTTTTTGAGGAACTGCCGTACTGTTTTTCATAGTATTGGCCATATTCTTATCTCAGATCTTAATGCTAAAGCAATAATTCATTTAACAGATTACAAATGAATTAGAATGTGATAGAAATCAGAATTGTTATCTCTGAAAGTGGGATATGGACTGGAAACTTTCTGGGAAAATGTCCTATAACTTAATCTGAGTAGTAGCAATAAAAGTATATAAATTTGTAAAAGTTCTTTTGAGTTTATGCTTAAGATGAATGCATTTTGCATTTGTATACTGAACTTTACTGTGTATATACTATGCCTCAATTAAAACATTACTCCTTAGCATGCAATATATTTAAAAATAAATGTTTTTCTTTTATCTAAACCCCTTTTCTTTTTAAAAACATTTTAGCAAAATTAAACTATTTCCAGGAGCTCCAAAAAGTCAATGCATCCAACTTCCAGGCACTGGCTACAGAGTTTGGAGGCAAATCATTCACTCCGACATTCCAAGCTGAGCCACCACCACCGTTTTACAGGGTGAGCCTGGGGAGAGGGACGGGATTGTTTGGCTTAATTTTTCCCTCATAACCAACAACTGACTGAGTGGGTATCTTTGAGGTGCCTGGCTGCCGTTAGGCAAACCCTTGTCAGTTCTTTTGGAGGGCAGTGTTGTCTGCATTAACAAGCTGTTGAGTTAATTTTTGTTTCTACTTTTTAAAATTTTTGCGTGGGCTCATTCCAATCTCATTGTGAACGTATTTCTGCTATACTTTGTTCAGGCTGGGGACCCCATTTTGACTTACTTCTCCGAGTGGTCTCTGATAGGCTTTCTGAAGCAGCCTGCAGGGCTCGGAGCTGGGGGGCTCTGTACCGAGAGCAATCCTGCAGGTGAGTCTAGAGCAGAAGCACCAACCTTTTGGTTCAGGTTAAAATGGGCTTTCTCATCGACCACTTCCCTAATTCTTTGTGTGCTAAGGTTTCTTAGAAAGTAGAAGTACAACCTGTGCTCGTTTCTTCAAGAACCTGGCAAACAGCTGCACCTTGGATCCAGCCCTCAATGCTGCCTCTTACTACAACTTCACAGTCTTGAAGGTGGGTGTCCCTTCTCTCTCCACTGGCACCATTGTGGGCTTAAAGTCAACTCGCTTCCCACTGTTGGGTGTGGGAAAAGCACTGAACTGGAAGTCAGGATGCCCAAGAGTTATGTAAAAGTCAGGGGGCTTGGAAACCCTGCTGTGTGAAGAAAGGTTAAAAGTTAGGGCTATATGGTCATGGTAAGAGGTTTACAACCTCCTGGCTAATGGGATTGGCTTGGGAGGGTGGGAGGGCTGACATCTCAATATTTCACCAAAGCTTTTTGCTTTTGCTGTTCAGTAGAGCTTTGCTCAGAGTAGGTGGGCAGTGCAATTGGACTCATTCAGCCTCCCCTCAGCTTTGCTCCTGGCATTTTAGTGTAAAGGAGAGTCAGGTAGAAGAGGAAGCAAATTATTCTAAGATGTTGATTTTTCCCACCCCCCATATGTGAAACCACAAGCTTCTGGAGATTTTCACTAAGGTATATGCATATTCATTTTCTTGCTTTTCTCTTATTTAGGTTCCAGGAGGTATGACTGATCTGCAGAATGTGAAGGTATGATGCTGTTTATCTAGAAAAAGTAAAGAGACTATTCGGTCCCTTTGCATCTGAGGCAGTTTCAGTCTAGATTGTAATGGTGAAAGAAAATGTATTTGTAATATATCAAAATGTTAAATGTGAATCTAAAACAGTGCTTGCTGTGTGTGTTCTATATGATTAATAAGCATCATATGAATTAAAAATTCAAAAGATGTTAGGTAAGTTTATACTGAGTTAAGGTTAAACACTATATTTAGGGCAGACTTCTTAGTCTTGACGGCCTTGTTAGTCTCTAAGAGGTAGGTATCAGATACAGTATTTCTAAAATCTATTTGAGCAGGGAACCTTAATTTTATATGTAATAGAATTAATGTTCTGAGAAATATGTTTTGAGGTGTGCAGACCTAGAATGACTAAGTTGTAGGCTGGCAATGGAAGGAGAAAGAAAGTTGGTGTTCAGAATGAAAAATACTCATTTCAGCATGAGATGCAGCTAGAAGAGACAACGCTGCTTTCAATTTTAGTTGATTTGCCTCTTTCCCTTGCTAGTTCCAGGTTCCCGTAACACCTGTCTCACAGGCTGGCTCTCCTCTGTTGGCCGGAAACACTTGTCAGAATGTTGTTTCCCAGGTAGGGATGCCGACCTCAGGTTCTAGATTGAAGTACGTTGATCTCCATTACCAGAGGTGCCCTTCTTCTGCTAAGTGCCACTCGAACCCTTGTGAATTTCTGTGCATTACCTGAAAGTTAGCACGTCAAGAAGTGAGCCCTTCCCCTTCCTCCCTACCACGTTTCACTCGTTTGCAATGCGTCCTCCGGTATTGCATGTCGAGAACATTAGGAGTATTTCCGACTCCTCTTTCCTTTGCTCATGTGCAGTCTGTTAGGGTTCTTACCGACCACATTTTCTTCTGTTGATGAAGTCAGTATCATCTGAAAGTCTGAACAGACTAATCAACTTTTCCTCTATTCTCTCCTAATCAATCTACAGAAGTAAGAATTATCTTAAAGCATAATTTTCAGAAATCTAAGGATACCTTCAATTGGTAACTTCCACCTCCAGCTACTGTCTTTACTCATCCTCAGACGTGGGGAGAGGCAAGCAAGCAAGGTTTCCATTCCACACTCACCTGCCTGTGCTTTTCGCCTTCCCCTGCACACAATCAAAACTTACTTTCCTTCCCTTTCGATTCTTACTATAAACTCACCTCTCCCGTGAATCTTTTCAAAGATCCCTATCCAGTCTCTCTTTTTCGTGTGTAGGTATAAGATGAAGTCAATTTTATCTTTTCATGGTACTTGTGTTTGGCATTTTTAAGACTACTTGTTTATTCTCCGTCATTCAGCTATATCTTTAATTAAGATATAATTGATATAACATTGTATTAGTTTTAGATGTACAGTATGATATATGTACAAGGTGGGCAAAAGTAGGTTTACAGTTGTAATACAAATAAATAATAATAAATAATGTAAGAGTAAACTGTTTAGCATAGTCACAATTGTAAACCTATTTTTTTTTAAATCCTCACGGAAGGATATGTTCATTGACCTTAGAGAGAAAGGAAGTAGGGGTGGAAGGGAGAGAAACAGAGAAAACCATCGATATTAGAGAGAAACATCCATTGGTTGCCTCCTGTATGTGCTCTGACCAGGGATCGAACCCTTAACCTGGGTATATACCCTGACTGGGAATCAAACCTGCAACCTTTTGGTGTGTGGGATGACACTCCAACCAACCTAGCCACCCCACCAGGGCTGTAAGCCAAGTTTTGACCACCCCCGTATATCACCACAGTAAGTTTCGTTAACAGCCATTGCCACACAGTCACCAGCTTTGTCTTGCAATGCGAACTTGGAAGATCTACTCTTCTATCAACTCTCAAATATACAGTATTGTTAACTGCAGTCAACCCTCATTCATGTATAATAAAACCCTCAAAGACAGAAAATTTAAATTAAACATAATTGGCCCACTAAGTAATTTTTATTAGTTGGTTGTACTTTTGCATTTCAGGTCACCTATGAGATAGAGACCAACGGAACGTTTGGAATCCAGAAAGTCTCTGTCGGTTTCGGACAGGCCAACCTGACTGTGGAGCCAGGCGCTTCCCTGCAGCAACACTTCATCATTCGCTTCAGGGTCAGGGCCCTTCTTCTGTGGGGGTGAAGGAGGGAAGAGATACTGGGGTGGGGACGGTTCCTCTGTCTGCGACAGCTGTGGCACAGCATGAGCTATGAAGGCCTAGTTCAGTCCGTCGGTTGAGGCCCAGCATGTTTTTTAAATAATGTGCTGACTTTCTGAGTACATTTAAAAAGAGAGAGAGCCCTTTCACCACAGAGAAGAACAGACATTGCTCTAGCACAGAGCCGGAGCCGAGGGAACTCTACAGCACACGTGGGTGTTCACTGTGCAAGAGGCCTCGACGTTGAAGGTTCCGTAATTTAACTCCTAGTGGTAGGGATTCGACAGGGTTTATTTATTAACATTTTCTCTGATTCTCTGTCTGGTCCCCAGCATAGCAGGCCTTCATTCTCAGATCCAAACTCTTTTTTAAATAATCACATTGAATCATAAATTCAGCCATCACCCCACAGAAGTTCTTTAGCTTTTCTCATATTTCTGGACATTTAGCATATTATTTGAGCTTATGTGCCTACAGTGGGCACGAATTTTTGCCCATGCACATCTCTGAATGTTGGTAAAAAACGCAGTGAGACGGCACTCTGTGCTGTGCTCACCCCACCGAGCCCACGCTTCCAGTCTCGATCTCCGCCTTTGGCTGCTGCTGCTGCTGCTGTCTTAGTCTTGTTGAGTCTGATTTCTTCTCAGCTCTGCCTTCCAGTGATCAACCAAGTCTCATGTCTCTCAGAGTTCATCTCTGGAACATCTATAGTTAATTAATATATACTTATAAATTACACATAAATTCCTCTCATTTCAACCATGGTGAGCATAGCCCTAAATTGATAACAATTTTTGAGGAACAGGGATGATAGATCCTTATTTGTAACTCTTGGTAGAGTAGCACATAGTGACTTTCAATATAGATCATTCAGGATTTACTTTGGGGGGAGAAAAAGGAAAAGTCACTGGAGTAGAAGTTTTTGCAAAGGATGCCGGATCGTCCAGTGCAGCTAACTTACTGCGGTGCCTTAAGGCAGGGAGTGAAGCCAAGCAGTGGAAGGTGGGGCAGCATGCTTTTCTCCATTTAGTGACTTTCTTTTACTCTCTCTGCAGGCTTCTCAGAGCACAGCTGCTTCTCTCCGTGCTCCTAGAAGTGGGAATCCTGGCTATATTGTTGGGAAGCCATTCCTGGCTCTAACTGGTGATGTGAGTCACTCAGTATCCTTTTCAGAGCAGAGTGGCCTGTTGCAGCCTAATGAGAAAAGCTGCAGCTGCTGATCTTTTGGATTATCCTATTCTGTGGTTCCCGCTTTTGTAGGTATCCAGGATTTCCTTAACCAAGCCATTCATAGACTGTGTTCTCAAATGTTGATGTGACCAAAGGCTCTAAAACTTATGAAAGACTGGCCAAAAGTGAAAGTTGTGACTGATTTTTGCTTTAATGGGGTATTTATATGCTAGTGTGTAGCTAACCACTTTTGGAAAAACACTTAACTCTGTGTGGGGGTGTTTTGGTATTTTTTTTTTTGAGATTTTATTTATTTTTAGAGAGGAGAAAAGAAGGAGAAAGAGAGGAAGAGAAACAGCGATGTGTGATTGCCTCTTGTGCGCCCCCTGCTGGGGACCTGGCCTGCAACCCAGGCTTGTGCCCTAGACTGGAAATGGATCCAGTGACCTTATGGTTCAGGCCAGTACTCAATCCACTGAGCCCCACCAGCCAGGGCCATCTCTGTGTTTTTTAATTACTAGATGAAGGAACCAAATTGTAACTTGAACAATACCACAGTATTAATAAAATATAGTGTTAAGGAAACAATGAGAGCATAAATTTTCCAGTCTGTCTCTTTTTCTGTTATGATCTCCTTGACCATCATTTTTCACCTCAGATGACCCTTTTGCAAAGCCAGGGTGATGGAACGTGCTCTGTTAGGAGACATGAAGTACAGTTTGGAGTGAATGCGATGTCTGGATGCAAGCTCAGGTAATTCATTGCTTCCGCATCATTTCCCACAATTTTGTCTCTAAGGATTATGTCAATATGGCAACTTTTATATTTTGAGAGTTCAGAGATTGCTAATTAGAAATTGTCTTATAATCTAAATAATAGTAATGTTACTAAGAGTTTCTGACAGTCCTCTAAACCTCCTGAGGATTATTTTACTCCAATTTATTTTATACTATTATTTCTAATATTTAGATTAATACACTAATGTGGTTACTATTATCTTAGCATTGGACTCCAGACTCCATGATGTTTAATTTCAGGCTGAAAAAGATGGGCTGCCGCCACTTGCAGCAGGAGATGTACCAGACTCTCCACGGAAGGCCCAGACCAGAGCATGTTGCCATCTTCGGTAATGCTGACCCAGCCCAGAAGGGAGAGTGGACCAGGATCCTCAGCAGGAACTGCAGTGTTTCGGTAAGGAGACAGAACAAACCCATTCTGACCGACACTCACTTCCCCTTTTGTTGTGAATACTGAAATTAAAACCGGCCCTATTTCCATAGATAATGTGGCTGTCATAAGAATATAAGAAAATCATGCCCATTTGATGTCATTTCAGGTTAGGTTTATACCTAACTTATTTTCCTTATGAGGAGAAAAATTTGGATGTAGAAAATCTAGAGATTGCTCTGCAATTCAAAATCAACCTAACTCGTAGGAAGAGAAAACGAAATATATTTCATATATATTTCAAATATTCTCTTATAATCTTGAATGTTTGGTCTGCCCAGATTCATTCTTTGAGGTTGAAATTGTGTTCTTTCTGTTGTTATAAAAATTTATGTTTTTACATTTACATTTAATGAAAATGCATTACCAGGTCAAAAATTCAAATCACGTAGAACAGTATTACAGGAAAAGTAAACATCTCAGCACCCCCTGCCCCGGAAGCAGCCTCATCCTTCCGCTTCCGTCTTTGCTCTTCCCGGATGCCCGTCAGACCCGTGTGCAGCGGGCGGGTCTCTCAACTGCACGCTGAAGTGAGGTCTGCTGAACCTCATTCATTCAGGTCCCGTCTTCTTCCTCTCGTGGCTGCCCTCCACCTCCTCACCTTTGTCAGCCATACCTTTAACTTTACTTTTTATTTAAAAAATTAAATGATTTATTTTTCTTTATAAGAAATACATATACTTGGTCTGAAATTCAAAAAGTGCAAAATAAAAATCTCTCTCCCAGGCAGCTCTTCCCTTTCATAGAGACAATCCAAGTCACTTGTTTCTTTCCTTCCACAGATAATGCATGCCCACATAGGTAAATGCTCATATTCTTTTTTTATCCAAATGATGTATTATAAACACTGTTCTGTACCTCGCTTTTTTTTAACTTGTTACATAGTAAGCCCCTCATCCTTTGCATTGTATGGTTGTATAATATCCCATTAGTATACAGATAAACCGTATATTTCACCTGTTTTATTTTTGGACACTCAGATTGTTTTCAATCTTTTCCTGTTATACACAGTGTGGCATTTTATAACCTCATTCAGGTCTCACTTCATACATGGGAGAATAAACCTATGTGATAAATCCTAGAAGGAGAATTTCTAGATTAAAGGGTATATACATTTAAAATTTCACTAAGTATTGCCAATTCATTCTCTATGCAGGCTGCACCAGTGTGCAGTCCTGCCATCCATCTGTGAGACTGCTTGTTGCCCCATACCTTCATCAGTGCTGTGTTTTCAGATTTTTTAATCTTTGTTCATCTGATAAGTGAAAAATAGCATCCTAGTGTAGTTTTATTTTTCTCTTTGAATAAGGTTGAGTATCTTGACATATGGTTGAACAATTTGTACTTTCTTCACTATAATCTATTTATATCCCTTGCCCATTTTTATTGAACCACTCGTCTTATGACATATAGGAAATCTTTGTGTATTTGAGAAATCAGCTCTTTTCAATGGTATAATTTGCAGATATTTTTTCCCAGTTTGTCATTTGTCTTTTGACTTTGTTGATGGTGTTTTTTGCCATGCAAAAGTTGTTTTTTATATTGTGAAATTTATCAACTTTTTTTTTTACCTTGGAATTTTAGTTTAGACTTTGAAATACCTTTCCCCTTAGAGATCATTTTTAAAGTGCCATTTTTCCCTTTCTCAGCATTATTATGACTTCTTTCCTTTTAAGGAGATTTGGGGGATAAGTAAACACATGTTCTTGATCCAGCCTTTAGGCACTGAAGTCAGATTGAGTTTTCTTAAGCTTCAAATCCATCTGAGGGACTGTGGATTTTCGGTTCTATATGGCTGAATATAAGAAGGAGCTGGATTGAGATTATAGTAGAACTACTCTTTGTTCTCAATTTACATTTTTAAATCACATTTTCAATGAGATTTGACAACATGGAAAAATCTACATTTTAGATTATAAACCTAAATCTACAAATGTAGATTAAATGAAAAGAAAAATATTTAAAAGTATTGAGAACAAACTTATGAAAAGATGTTCAGCATTGTTAGCCATTAGCCATTAAAGAATTGCAAAACCACAATGCATTACCACTTCACACCCACGGGGATGGCTCTAGTTAAAAAGATAGATAGCCTGTGTTGGCAAGGAGGTGGCAACAGTGTCTGGAACCCTCAGACACTGTTGTGGGACAGCAGAATGGTGAGCCACTTGGAAAACAGTTTGACGGTTTCCTTAGTAAACATAAACATGGTCTGTCTTCTGCTGTTCCTCGTTTATACACGTTTTTGCCTGTATCTGAGCCTTACTATAACAAAGTACGAAGCTAGAAAAGCACAAAGCATATTTGAGGATAGTTTGTATCTGCTAAGTTATAGTAACTTTCTAATTAAAGTCCTCACTTCCATCAATCCTTCCTGCATTATGGAATTAATCCCCCCAGGGTCAGAGTACTTGGTTCAGACTAATACTGAAATGTCTTCTTCCTTAGCCTTTCACTGCTCCTGTGTTCAAGTCCTTTGCTCCAGTCAGGTGTCTGCTCAAGGCCATTGCCGGGTACATGCCAAACACAGAGGAGGCACTCAGTAACTGCTATTCACATTAATCAGTGAATGTTCCTCCATGGCCTCATGTGCTTTTCTAGTTCTGTACTTTTCTATATGTCATCTCTCCACCTGAATTTTCCTTTAGTCACCATTTTCTCCAGTCACATGTTACTCATCTCAGTTCTGTCCTCAACCAGAAATGGCTGTTTCTTCTGGTGTTCCACAGTACTGACTATGCACCACTCATGGAGCACTTCTTGTAAACATTGTAAATGGGCTCACATTTTATAATCTCTATATTAGTAATTTCCATTTTAGAATATTAATTTTCCTAAGACCAAGGACAATAATATGGTTTATGGTGAACTTTTGCATTCTCTAAGCCACGCTGCCTTCTCTGTTATTGTACAGTGTTTAAGAAACGAGGGTACTTAATGCACGGTGACTGATTATAGGCAACCACCGCAATTCAAGCAGACGCTTTACTCTTCTGCAGGCTACACATTGTGCGTCTTGCTGTGTCATCCCAGTTTCCCTGGAGATCCAGGTACTGTGGGCATATGTAGGCCTCCAGTCCAACCCACAAGCTCATGTATCAGGAACACGCTTCTTGTACCAGTGTCAGTCCATAAAGGTAAGTCATGACTCGTAAAGCACCACTAATCCTTGCAAGGCCTACATTGTATCATCAACCATTTGATGACCGTATAATTTTTGACTTCTGGGAGCCAATTAATGCTGCCAGCCAATGTCTGGTGAGAGTGAGCAGGCATAATTAACTTTCATTCGATCCTCACTGCCTGGTTACTGAAATTAGCATGTCATCATGGTGAGTACATCTATATCCTTTTTCCTCTTTTTTTTTTAATATCCTGAACCCAGACTGTAGTATAGGTTAATTTCTTTTAAATTATCATAACAGACAGATACAGTTCATGTTTTTGGACTGGGATTCTAATTTCAACAATCGTAAAGCACATTTTGAGATAGTTGGGAAATGAGTATGGACTATGTTTTAGATAGAAATATTACTAACACGAAAAGGTAGAGGTTAATTTTTTTAAAGCAAATTATGAAACAGCCTATCTGATATGATATTTTTTGGTGAACAATGCATATATGGGTGTTTTTATGTATAAAGACATAGATGTTAATAGTGGCATTCTTAGTGATGGAAATAGAGTGTTTTTCTTATTTTCACTTATCTATATTCTTTAACTCTTCACAATATCATTTACCACTTTTGTGATAAACTTTCTAAAGTCAATAGGGAAAAAAGTCACTAGGAAAACATCTAAAAATAACTAGGTGTTATTATAAAAGTGAATTTATTCAGTTTCATTTACACTAGGATTAAAGAACATGAAATACTTAGGAAAAAATTTAGCAAAAGGAGTAGAAGACTTCTTCACTATAAAGTGTTTCTGAGAGAAATTATAGGGGACCTAAATAAATGATTGAGAGATATACCATGTTCATGAAGTAGAAATGTCAAAATTAAGATACCCCCAAATGGGTCTGTGGATTCATTGCAAACCCCCCCAAAAAACTCCTACCCGGAATTTTTGTGGAAATTGACAAGTTGATTCTAAAATTTACATGAAAATATAAAGGACTTAAAAACCCAAAACAATTTTGAAAAAGAACAACAAATTTGGAGGACTTACTTTGCTGATTTCAAGATTTACTCTTAACTCTCAGACAGTGTGGTATTGGTATAGGTTAGACAAACAGACCAATGATACAGAATAAAGAGTCTAAAAATAGATCCACAAATTGATTCAATGGGAAGGAGACATTTCCTTTTAAACAACTGGTTTTGGAACACCTAGATAAAACTGGAACTACTAGATAAACGTAGTAGGGAAAATCAGTTAGTTCCATACACAAAAAGTACATATGCCTGGGTTGTAGACCTATATACTGACCTTAAATACAGAGTCACAAAACTTCTAAAAGAAACACAGGACAGTATCTTTGCAGATTTGAAGTAGGCAAATATTTCTTGGACAGGAAACAAAAATCATTAAATCCCTGCTCATCAAAAGATACCATTATGAAAAGGAAAAGGCAGGATATAATTTGGGAAAAAATATTTGTTAACACATTATCTGGCAACAAATTCCATGTCCAGAATTAAAAATATCTACAAATAAGTAATGTGAAGACAAAAGAATCTTAAAAATGGGCAAAAGATTTGAATGATACACAAATGGCCAATAAACATAAAAGGTGCTAAATATCATTAGTCCTTAGGGATATACAAAATTAAAACCACAAGACACCACTCACTAGAATATCAATAGAATATTCATGAGAATAGCCAAAATAAAGATTGGTAACACGAGCCCTGGCTGGCGTAGCTCAGTGGATTGTGCGTGGGCTGCAAACCAAAGCATTGCAGGTTCAATTCCCAGTCAGGGTACATGCCTGGGTTGCAGGCCACGGCCCCCAGCAACTGCACATTGATGTTTCTCTCTGTCTCTCTCTTTCTCCTTCCCTTCCTGCTCTAAAAATAAATAAAATCTTTAAAAAAAAAAAGATTGGTAACATGAAACGGTGCAGGAATGTAAAACAACTGGAATTCTCATAGATCACTGGTAGGAATAGAAAATGGTACAACCTCTTGGTCTTTACAAATTCATCTTCCCTATGACCCAGCAATTTTACTCCTGGGTATTTAACCAAAAGAAATTAAAACACATGTCCAAAACAAAACATGTACCAGCATGTTTATAGAAGCCTTATTACTGGCAGCACAAAACTTACTGATTTCAGAGAGAGAGGAAGTGGGAGGGATGGAAACAGAGAGAGAAACATTGATCAGTTGCCTCTTTATGTGCCCCAACCATGGATCAAACCTACAACCTAGGTATGTGCCTGACCGAGGATCGAACCCACAACCTTTTGGTGTACTGGAAGACACTCCAAACAACTAAGCCATGCGGCCAGGGCAGAGGCAGTTTTGTTTAATATAAGAAGAATAAACATTTCATTTGAAATGTTAGCTAATAAATAAATACATGAATAAATGAAGCACAGCCTTTAGGAATCCTAATTACAGTGTGGAGGTAAGGTTAAGGGGTCAAAGTGATCTGTAATTGCTGACTCTTAAATAGCTATAGCATACTTTCTACAGTGTGATTTATTTCTTGTTACTTTCTATTCTTCTGTCTCCAAAAATACCTCTGCTCATTTGTGAAAAGTAAAGTCTTCTTTGAGTGCTTACTCTGTGCCAAGTACCATGCTTGGTGCTAGGTACAGCATGATAAACAAAGTAGACATTGCCCTGGGCCCAGGAGGAGGCTGTGAGGGCTGCAGAAAGCAGGCAGAGTTCAGAAGATTCAGGGGTGTCACCGATAGAACGTGACTGCTTGGATGTGGAGGTTGAGGAAGAATGAGTCAAAGATGATGGATACATTTTTAGTTGGGGCATTTCATTGAGTTCTTTTATATCTTATATATAATATCCTGTTGACTACCAAGTATAATTTTGCTTTCTGCAGTAACTCTTGATACTGCATCTCCAGCTTCCCTCCCCTACTTTTTTCTCCTAAGGTTTTCCCCTTTTGTGTTTCGTTTGTTTTGAAGAGATGTCCTCCAACTACTGGAACCCATGTGGAGTGCCTGGAAATATCCATGTCCTAGATGGCCCTTAACCTGTGACTTACAGGCAAAGGAATATGAAAGCCCCACTCCCTTTCCTTGGGTGGGGACAACACAAGTTGCTGGGACTGTGAAGCCTACCTTGTGTTTCTGAGTTCCCTCGCAGATTAGGCTAACGCTAGATAATGGTGAAATTTCTCAAATTAATAGTTGTATAATTTATCAAAATAGCAAATATATATATTTTAAAGGCAAAAAATGCCAGAAGAGGATCTCTTATAAAAATGTCTTATAATCCTCCTTACCATCCTGATCTCCAAAAATTACGTTAAACTCTTTTACTCTCTACCTCAATTTCTAAGCTATTTTATTCAGTTATCTCTGGAATCAGGAGTTTATAGATAATCTGTTGATTGCCTGTTTTGGCAGGTGAGTTGAGATCTATTAGTCTCTCTTACCCTTCCATTATTGTCCCAAGGTAGTTACATCAAAATGTTCTATTAAATAAATATTGGGTGTTTCAATATTATGATTATATAAATATTCATGTTGAGTTAAGGAGTTACATTTTTGTGGAACTTTTCATTCTAAAATTAATAATTACCTCACATTTCATTTCTTTCATTTTCTTTTAGCTGATGGCTAAGACTTCTCAGTGTCCAACAGCTGTGTAAAACTTCTCAATGCAGTTTTTCAAGCACTTAAACTCACCATATAATGTTATCTATCAGCTCTACCTTTCCTACATATTTTCTTTATGGAGATCACCATAACCTGATGCAGTGTGGACTGTTTACTGCCCAGCAATTGTTAGTGGACTTTTCTTTACTGTCATCCTGGGAATTCCTCTTGCTTCTTATTTGTGGTAGATTCATTGTTTACTGAACACTGTTTTTTCCTTTTCCTCAATTTGCTCTCGTTTTGGTAGACTTCAAATTCTAATAACATCTTTGAAAACAAGCATATTTAAACTACATTTTTTCCTTTAGTTCACATGTCTAAAGACAGCTTCATTCAACCACCATCATCATCATCATTATCATGATTCATAATTTCTTATTTGGGTAGGTATACAATTCTAAATTGAAAATAATTTTCACTCGCAATTTTGAAGGCTTCCTTCCATTGTCTTCTAGTTTCCAATACTCCTGTTCAAGCACCATTTTAAGATCTCCAATTTACTCCTAGTAGTCTGAAGCTTCTAACATATTATGCCTCAAGTAGGTTTTTCTCTTCATTCATCATACCAAACAATCTGGGGGGGGGGGGGCGGGTTTACTCTGAAAACACAATTCTGAGAAATTTCTACTAGTATTACACATTCAATTTCCTCCCCACTATTTTCTCTGTTCTCTCTTTTTGGAGAGTTTCTGAACTCCTATTAATCTGTTACAGGGTCACTAAATTGATTATCTACTTTTCTCTCATATTATCTATCTCTTTAGCTTTTTGTTTTTTCTAGAAGAGTTCCTCAACTTTGTCTGTTAACCTTCTTACTGAAGTTTTTATTTTGGCATTACATTTTTAATATCTAAGAGTACTTCGTTTTTCTCTGTTTCATTATACCCTTATATATCTTTTAAGATATTAACATTTTATCTTCATCTTTCTTTGTCTCTATTTCCTCTGAGTTTACTTATTGTGCTCATTTGGTAGTTTTTTCTTCAATGTAAGAAGTCTCTCCCACATGTCTGGCAATTCCGGTCATCAGGCTGCAGCCACATCTACCAGAAGCTATCTCTGTTCAATCAGACCCTTCGGCCAGCTTGACAAGGCGCCTTCTCCTGGGAGCATCTGTTTTATTTGACTTGAACTGGTGGGTGGTTGGGAGGATCCTTTCTAATCCTGAGATTCTGTGAACCTACTGGGTTTTTTTTTTTACCTCCATTTCTGAGTTCTGTGCTTCTTCCATGAAGTTTCTAGTTTCTTGGTACAGCTGAATAAAGAATGGAATTGCCACTCCTACTTCCACCAGTACATGTGTACTGTTTCAGAGCCAGGAAGCTTCTTGGACCTGATAAGATAGAGCTGCTAAGCCTGCTGTAAATAGTTTTGCTATCTGGCCTCTCTGATACCAGGCAGCTCCCAGTTGGGGGAAGCTAGTCGGTCTTTAGGTAGGTGCTAGCTGTTCCCAGTGCTGGTGTCAAGGACTGCTGCTAAGAAATTCATTTTCTGTATCTCATAGAAAACTACATAGGACCAATATGAGAAAAAAGTATATCTTGCTTACAGCAATTTGGTTTTGGTCTTTTTGCAGGGAAGTAATAAGTTGTCAAGTGGAGGGCTATTTGAATTGGTACTAAGTGCTGACCTGTCATGGACTTCTTTCCTGCAGGATTCCAAAGTAACAGAAGTGCCTTTGACAACTATTGTGACCTTTGTGGACATTACCCAGAAGCCAGAGCCTCCACGGGGCCAACCCAGAATCGACTGGAAATTGCCATTTGATTTCTTCTTTCCGTTCAAAGTGGCATTCAGCAAAGGAGCGCACTCTCAAAAAGGCTCAGTCTTTCCCATCCTTATCCTGTGTTTCTTACTACTCGGAGTTCTCAGCTAAGTAACAAAAGGAGAAAAATCACGTTTTAAAATTCCCTATGGGAAGTCCTACGGCAGCCTACTTATGTTGGCTAATGACCAGAAGGCATTTAGGATAATAGAGGACCTACACTGAAGGAACCTTTGTACATGAGGGAAAGGTAATAAAGGTAATTTATTCATCCTAGCTCTCTGCTTAGAACTTAGAACATGCTTCAGTAATGTCAACTGAAAATGATTTGCTCCAAAAAACTGAATATGTAACCTACAGAACACCAGATACACCTTAAGCTCTATACTCCTCAGGCAGGAAGGAACACGAAGAGCTCTTCCTTCAGTCCTTCAGGTTGTGTTGTGCCTGACCAAAGGTTTGTACGGTCTTCATCCCTCTGCTCACAGGCACAGTTGGGCAACGTCAAAAGGAACATGTTCCTACTGCTCCCCACATGAACTTGGAAAGTACTGCCCTCTGGGCTTTAAAGGAACTGACTGTTGAGAATAGAAAACTACTGGCTATATATTTTATCTGGTTCCATCCTAATCCCTTGGGTTACAACGTTCCCATGCCTGAGTGAGGATGGCAGTTCTTTCCATGAAAAGTTTTCAAAATGAATGTGGAATCCCAGCCTCCTTTCCTACTCACAAGTGATTTTACCACTCATTTTCTCGTTTCCCTTCACTGTGGTAGAGAAGTAAAACTGATTGAGAGCTCAGTTATAGTAATTCTAGCAGTACACAGGAGTTAACTGATAGGTAGTTTGCCTCATGATTATTTTTCTATATACATGAGGGGTTCTTTTTTAAAAAAAATCTTTATAGTATAATAGCATTCATTATTATGAGGGGGAAACTCAAAAAAACCAGAATTATCTTCTAGAGTGCAGGCCCCTTGTAGGACAGTCTTCCCCCACTAGGTGAGTGTTCTAGGAACCCATCTGTATCAGTGCACCAGCTGGCGTTGTGGGGTGTTTGACTTCAGTGAATTTTGTTTTTGAAAACTTTCAGCGCAGTTGCCCATTTCACGATGGGTGATTTCCCAGTGCACCAACCCACACCATGCTAAGTATTGAGCAGTTTTTGACCAACAACCTGTACCCCGCTCTCTATTCATCTGATCTCGCCCTGAGCAAACTTTTTGTTTGTTTGTTTCCCTGGATGAAAAAAATCCTCAAAGGGAAATGTTTTGCTGATGTAGAGGAGGTGAAACAAAAAACTGCAGGTGCACTGAAAGGCATCAAAATCTATTGAGTTCAAAGGCTTTTTGAGCATTGGAAAAAAACGCCCCGATAGGTGTGTTGCATCAGGTGGAGAGTACTTTGAAACGTGACTAAGTTTAAATATGAGAATATACAATTTTTTATAAATAAATTCCAGATTTTCTAAGTTGGTTATGAATTTATACATTTTAATAGGAAAATATGTTTTCTGTCAGCAATGCTAGCCAACATTTCCAAATACAATTTGCAGGTAACCTGAGGATGGGATTCACTGGGTGGCGGTGTGATGTTTCACTTGCTTCACCTGTCTCTTAGGAGCGCTCCTGGCTGCTGAGGTGGAGACTTCAACCTTCACCACTTTGACAAAAAGCTCATCCTCATCAGATGAATCTTTGTCGTGTAGCTTCTGGGCCACATTTTTCTTGCATATGGTGTTGTGAGATCCATACATATTCCTAAGCCTTTTCCAGAAAATGCCCTCCATCACACATTTTGGTGAGTATCTCATGTCGGAGAACTGAGAAAAAGCCCCTTGAGCTTCCTTCTTTACCTTCCTTTGATGCTGTTCTATGACAAATCACAATGAGACAGAGTTAAAATAAAAATCACTGCTGCTGCAATCACAGGTACTGCCCTGGCGAGATCGTGCTCATACCCACACCCTGGCACTCTGGTGAGCTCACATGACTCCTGCTCTTCCTGTTCTCCCTGGGCTTCTGTCCTCTACTTTTTCCATTGCTCTGTATCCCACTGGGGCTTGGAAACCTTTACTTCTTGTTGCTCACTGAGAAGCTTCATCATGAAGGTTGACAAGCTGTCGCCTTTTTTGCCTGAGGATGCCCTCACTGGCTCAGTCATCAGCTCAGTGCTGGTGTTCTTTGGCCTTACAATATTTCCATGAAAGAGCCTTCTGTATTTTCTAAGTATAGCTGTTCATCACAATGGGTGTCAGACATTCACTGTCACAATGCAGTCTGACTATCTTGCTGACAGTCTCATTTTTAAATTGGCATAGACAGCAAGCCAAATGGCTAGGTAGTTTTTCCAATTCAAGGGTCATCATGAGGATTCTCTCAACTGTTGTGATACTTGTGTTGTTCCTATATTTTACCTGTGTTGTCTAAATATTGTAATGCTGGCAACTTAAAAAGATACAAATCTTCCAAGAGTTGTCAGGATTACAATTGAGAATTAAATACTTGAGAGATGTAGGCCTTCAGTTGAATCCTTATATAATTCTCTCAGATTATTTTCACTGAGGATTTGTTTTCAGCCCAACAGCATGACTTCCAAGTATCTTTATTAATGTAACAAGTAGAGTTTCCTTGCATTTAAGATAGCAAAGGTGCCATTGTAGGCATTGGCCTCTGGTACAGACACTTTGTGGAGCTTCTGTTTTGGGTCGAGACCGAAACATGACAGTGTCTCACTATCGCAGGTACAGAGCTCACATATATTCCTGGTGGCATTCTGTTCAGTCGTTGGAGGACCTGCTCGGATGACTTTGGCTGCTGAGTTCTGATAAATTCCAGGTCCAAAGGTTTAACTGTGAATTCAGACAAGAATGACTGCTGAACCTAAACAGACTCTGGATGAGGAACTTTCATGTAGTCTTCTGCAGGGATATAGGGTATTTCAGCTTGCACAGTAGATTCTGGTGTTTCGGTGACCTCCAGGTCCAAATGTCTGAAATGATTTCAGACAAGATTGGCTGCTAAGCCTGAACAGGCTCTAAACATGGAAGTATCACCTCAGGGTTCACTGAAGAAGGTGTACTCTGCTGCAAGGCTGTAGGACGTCCAGCCACCACAGTAGGTTCTGGTGTTACGTTGAGCTCCAGGTCCAAAGGGTTGGCTACTAAGCCTGAACAGGCTCTAAATATGGAAGTGTCACCTCAGAGTCTTTTGGGGAAGCTATATTCTGCTGCAGGCTGTAAGATATTCAACCTTCACAATAGGTATTGGTGTTATGATGAACACGCCCTTAGGTTGAACTGTGACTTCAGATGTGTTGGCTGCTGAGCCAGAACAGGTTCTTGAGGTAGAAGTGTCACCTCTGGGTGCTTTGAAGGAGCTGTACTCAGTTGCAGGGCTACCGAAAGTTCAGCCTGCACTTGGGCTCTGGTGTGGTGAGCTCCAGGTCCAAAGGTAGAACTGTGACTTTAGACAGGGTTGGCTCCTGAGCCTGAAGGCTGGTGTATGTGAAAGTGTCACCTCAGGGTGCTTTGAAGGATCTATAGTCTGTTGCTGGGTGGTAGTATGTACAGACTCCACAGTAGGTTCTGGGTTTATGTCGAGCTCGAAGTCCAAAGTTGAACTGTGATTTTACACAAGGTTGGCTGCTGAGCCTGAACAGGCTGTGGATGTGGAAGTGTCACCTAAGAGTGCTTTGAAGAAGCTGTACTCTGATGCAGGGATGTAGAATGTTCAGCCTCCAGAGTAGGTTCTGGTGTCATGATGAGCTCCAGACCCACATGTTGAACTGTGACTTGACACAGGATTTGCTGCTGAGCCTGAACAACTCTGGATATGAAAAGTGTCACCTAAAAGTGCTATGGAGGAACTGCAGTCTGCTTTAAGGCTGTAGGATGTTCAGCATCCACAGTAGGCTCTGGTGTCATGGTGAACTCCAGTTCCACAATGAACTATGAATTCACACAATGTTAAGTCCTGAGTCTGAACAGCCTCTAAATGTGAAAGTGTCACCTCAGGGTTTTGGAGCTGTACTGTGCTGCAAGACTAGAATGTTCAGTCTCCACAGTAGACTCTGGTGTTATGGTGAGTTCCAGGTCCAAGGAATGAACTGTGACTTCACACATGTTTAACTACTGAGCAAGACAGGCTCTAAATGTTAGAGTGTCACCTCAGGGTTCTTTGGAGCATCATATTCTGCCACTGGGCTGTAGGATGTTGAGTCTCCCCTGTAGGTTCTGGTGTCATAGTGAGCTCCGTGTCCAAGGTTGAACTTTGAATTCACTGTTAGCTACTGAGCCTGAACAGGCTCTAAATCTGAAAGTGTCCCCTCCTGGTTTTGGAGAAGCTGTACTCTGCTGCAGGACTGCAGGATGTTCAGTCTCCACAGTAGGTTCTGGGTTTATGGTGGCTCCAAGTCTAAAAGTTGAACTGTGATTTCATGCTAGGTTGGCTGCTGAGCCTGAACAGTGTGTGGATGTGGAAGTGTCACTTCAGGGTGCTTTGGAGGAGCTGTCGTGGGCCCCAGGGCTGTAAGATGTGCAGCCTCCACAGTAGGTACTGGTGTTATGGTGAGCTCCAGGTCCTGAGGTTGAACTGTGACTTCAGACAAGCTTTGCTGCTTAGTCTTAAGAGACTTTCAATGTGGAAGTATTACCTCTCAGTGTTTTGAAGTAATTGTCGTCTGCTCAAGGGTTACAGAATGTCCAGCATCCAAGTAGGTTATGTTTATGGTGAGCTCCAAGTCTGAATGTTCAACTGTGATTCAGACAAGGCTGGCTGCTGAGCCAGTACAGCCTGTGCATGGGGAAGTGTCACCTCAGTGTTTTCAGAAGCTGTAGTCAATTGAAAGGTTATAGAATTTCAGCCTCCTCAGTACGTTCTGGTGTTATGGTGAACTCCAGGTCCAAGGGTTGAACTGTGGCTTTAGACAAGGTAGGCTGCTGAGCCTGACAGGCTGTCAATGTGCAAGTATTACTCATGGTGTTTTGAAGAACCTGTAGTCTGCTGCAGCACTGTACAATATTGAGCCTCCACAGTATGTTCAGGTTTATGGGGAGCTTCCAGTGCAAAGGTTGAACTGTGATTTCAGACACATAAGCTGTTGAGCCTGAACAGTCTGTATATGTGGAAGTATCACCTCAGGATGCTTTGGAGGAGCTGTAGTCTGCTGCAGGCCTGTTGGATGTTCAACCTCCACTGTAGATTCTGCTGTTATGATGAGATCCATGTCTGAAGGTTGAACTGTGACTTCACACAAGTTAAGCTGCTGAGCTTGAACAGGTTCTGTATATGGGAATGTCACTACAGGGTGCTTTGAGGAGCTGTAGTCTGCTGAAGGACTGTAGGATGTTCAGCCACCACAACAGGTAATGGTGCTATGAGGAGCATCAGGTCCTATGCTTGAACTGTGATCAGATGAGGTTTGCTGCTTAGTATGCCCAGTCTGTGCATGTGGAAGTATCAACTCACAGTGTTTTGAAGAAGCTGTGGTCTCCTGCATGGTTATAGGATGTTCTGCTTCCACAGGTGGTTCTGGTGTTACGGTGAACTCCAGGTCTAAAGGTTGAACTGTGATTTCAGGCAAGGTAGGCTGCTGAACCTGATATCACTCTGGAGGCAGAAGTGTACCTCAGGGTTTTTGGTGCAGTACTCTGCTACAACACTATTAGATGTTCCTCCTTCACCACAGGTTATGGTGTTATGGTGAGCTTCATTTCCAAAGGTTGAACTGTGAGTTCAGACAAGGTTGTGGTGGAGCCTTCATTCGGGGGAGTCTGAACAGGCTCTGGATGTGGAAATACCACTTCAGAATGTTTTCTTGGGTCTGTAGTCTCCTGCAGGGCTGTAGTGTCAGCTTCCAGTATAGGCTGAGCTGATGTCTTTTGCTGTGATAGAGATGTTTTTTATCTCCTCAATGTTCTTTGGAGGGACACACTGCTTGGTTGGAGGTTTTCCCACTTCAGTTGATTTTGCAGGGTGAGCTGAGACCTCTTTTCAATTACAGATGGCTTAATCCCTTTAGGGTGCTCTGATGTTTTTAAGACCCCAAGATCCACATTTAATAACATTTGATTAGGCAACACTGAATGCTGAGCTTCACCCATACCTAGAGTTTAGACTGTCATCTCATGATACGTTGAATGTTGAGCTACACCATTTATAGAGGATTTTGGAGGTTGAACTGAACCCTTCTGCTGGACTGGAAAAGGTTCTACACTGGCAAGAGGCAACTGAGGCAGAGTCAAGCTCTTTGGCTGGATTAAAGCTTCAATGTCTTCAGGGTGGTGGGGTGTTGGATGCTGGTCTAAAACTTCTTAATAAACTAACGAAGATTTCAACAATTAGGGGACACAACAGGCTGAGCTACGTCTTCTCCTGGACTAAAGATGATTCTCTTGCATCAGGGGTTTCTGGTTGGTGAGCTGGGGCCTTCTGATGGGTTGGAGAAGGTTCCATTTCCTCAGAGGACTCTGAAGGCAGAACTGAGGCTTCCTGTTGGAATCATAAAGGTTCAGCATTTTCAGAGATATATGAAGGCTCAAATGTGAGGTTTTGCTAATCCAGGCCAGGGCTTGGTGAGCCCACAGGGAAACAGAGGTCACCAGGACAGGGTCTAGGGCTAACTCCGGAGACTGAGGTGCCTGGAGCAGCAGCCACAACAGCTGCCATGTGAAGAGGAGCCATGGGGCCCAGAGGTGCAGCCTGGGCACAACAGGCAGAGGTCCAAGGCACAGCAAGTGACCCAAGCAAGTGGGATGCTGGCCCCACATGCTGAGCAAGAGCCAACAATTGGCAGCTGTGTCACAATTGGCAGCTGTGTCACGCATGTGCCCCTTAGCAACAAAGCACTCCTCCCCCACCTCAGGTTCCAACCTTTATTTAGGCAACATTTATTAGTCTTGGGTTGAGAGCAACTGCAGAAGACCGAGCCTTTTTCCCAGAATCACCAGGGACCAAGCAGTCCTTTTCCCCTGCAGAGGGGACAACTACCTCTTGCCAGTGCTCCCCTCCCTCCTCAGTGAGGCAGGATTTAAGCTGCACAACTGAGTGGCCCCAGACTCCAGCAGCCCAGAGACGGTGGGATTGGGAGTGGGGGTTGTTAATGAAGGTGAGGTATGGAGGTTGGTGCACAGCTTCCCAAGGAAGCCACAGGGCCTCACATCCCCGGAAATTCAGAAGTGCTAGTCCAGTTCTGGCAATCTGAACTCCTCAAAAGCTGAAATCTGAGAGACATTCTTCTCTTTGGCCATACTACTTCCAAGAAAAGTAGATGACAGCTTTTCCAGTTCAAGGGTCATGAGGATGCTCTCAACTGTTCTGACACTTGTGTTATTCCCATGTCTCAGACTCAATGTGGCTTCTTCTGTAAGCCCTTGGTTATAAGGCTTCTCTCCAGCTAGTCTTCAATTCATTACTCAGGATTATGTTTCTATAATTTAATTGTAAATCCAGTTTGATCCTGGGAATGTAACAAGGAATAAATAATTTGTATCACTCTCACTTACCATGAAATAGAGTTAGAATAAGATACACTAACAAACTGATAAAAAGAACTCACATACTGACAGTTTATAAGCATATTGGAAGCACCAGCAGTTCCAGTTCCTGGTTGTACAAGAAACAGCCTTTACCATGACTTCAGGTGATGCAGAGTGCCCAACTATCTGGGATGCTATAGAAATCAATAGGTGCTCTATGGTGGTAGGTACGGCTCAGCAACTAAGAAAACCTCAGTTCTCCCAGTGTGGGACTTGGAGCACACTTGGTGTTTTGACTTATGGATTTCTCAGTTTTGAATGTTCTGTTTGAGAGCTCTCATCTGTTCTGTTTGGGGGCTCTCTGAGAACTCTTGTCTGTCTGCAATGAAGCTTTGGTTTCAGTTGTTCTTTGATTGCTTTCTTATCCTGTAAGGACTTGGCTTGCTCTTTGCTGTTTTGTGCATACAGTGAATCCTCTGTCTCTACCATTTGGACTTTGTGCCTTTTAGACGTTGTGAAAGTCATTTGCAATAATGTCCCAGTCCCTCCTTTTAGAATATGGATGTCAAACTCATTTTCACCAGGGGCCACATCAGCTTTGAAGGCGCCTTGAGGTTGCCTTCAAAGGGCTGAATGTAATTTTAGGACTGTATAAATGTAACTACTCCTTAACTAGGGGCAAGGAGCTTGGTGCTGCCATCAGGTACAAATAAGGTACCGGGCCGGATAAAATAAGGTGGAGGGCCAGATTTGACCCATGGGCCTTGTCTGACTGGTCAACTTATGCTAAGTCAGTGACTAATTAGAATGGTTTCCCAAGGTTTTGGTAAACAGAATAAGATTTCTTATATGCAAGCTTTCATATTGTTACACCACAAGGATTCTACTCAGAATGTAAATTGATAGGCAAAGAGGGGAAAAGATCTCACTCCCCTCCCAGACTGTAAAACTCAGAAAGTAGAAAAAATGAGGAGATAAGTTTTATACACACTCTAAATCCTCCTCCTAGAGGTCTGGGAGTTGCTGCAGTCCTGGAAACAATAGGAAAATTATTGCCAACCCCAGAGCAGGCTGAAGGAGTTGGGGCAACTATGCCATCTCAATGTGAAGAAAAAAAATGGAACTTTTTAAATAACTCAAGTGGCTAAAGTGAGACAAGCCCAATATCTCCCTTACCTCTCCTCCAGGCTCCTTAAAGTTGTCAAGGACATATTTAAAAAAAAAGAAAATCTTGTGTCCTGTTATGTGTATGGGGAAAAAAAACTATCTCAAATATTTTTTCAGCATCATATAGAAAAATATTTGATATTAAGGCTGGTTTTAACTTAATTGATATCTCTTAAAGTTATTAGCATAAAATGTTTGTTTTGCCTGGGTTTGCAGCAATAAGTTCATGTAATCTCTTACAGAATTTGTCAAGAAAATGACTTGAGTAGTAACTGATTTTAAAATCTTATAAAGTTGTTAGGAGTAAATAGATATAACTAAAATGAAAAGTTTTTGATAAGGCTTTTAGGTAATCATTATAAATAAACCTAATTTTCCAAAGTCTTTGGTGACTTGGAACTTTAGAGTTTTCTGGGTTAAATGGTAAAAATCATCAAATATCTAAATATTCTGAAATAATAGGATACTGAAATATTCATTGATCTGAGCTGGCCTACTTTGGCGTCTTATTGCAGGGAAGCTAGAAAATGAATTTGGATCTGTTAATGAATATATCTTATACTTTATTTGAAGTATGTCTGTTGAAAATGTGAGTGTGTTTGCCAATGGGGGGCTGTTTCTAAAAGTTATGAAATGTATTCATAAAAGTATTCTAAAGAATGCTAATTACTTACTTTTAGTTGTCACTAAAAATCAAAGTATCTAAGAATTAAAAATTCTAATTTTGTTGGAAAGAAATTGTATGGTTTGGTAATAGTATAGAGTATGAAAACACCTGTTGAAGAAAAAAAAAGAAAATCATTTGTTCTAAAGTTGGTTATTTCTGAAGGAGTTAAGAAGCAGCAAACTAAAAGGGACTGTAAATTGCAGAAAGATTGTGTACATCACACAAAGTCATGTGCAAGTTGAAGAAGGTTTATAAAGAGAATCTTAAGAGGAAATTATATAATTTAGCTGAATAATGAATTTAATTAGGTAAATGAATCTAAATATCAAAAATGAACCATTAAACAATTTGTTTGGTTCTTTTTCAGTCTGTTAAAAGGGAAAAAATATTGTTCCTGTACCTGCCTAGAAAGCAAAGATTCTATATTTTTTAAAACACTTACGTGTTATATTGTGTTAATCAGGTACTTGATTACCTTAAAACCCATATTCTTTATCATAAGAACTAAAGTTTTGCTAGCATATATTTATGTTTGATATGTTTACTATCACTTTGGGTAAATAAATAATTTAATATTGTTTCATTATGATAAATAATCTTTTGGCCAGTTATGTTTGACAACCTTCCCAGGGCTTAAATTTTAAGAGACTTTTTCTTGACCTAGAATTGGCTTTCCTGTGGGTCCCTGGAATGCCTTGAGGATTTGTTTTTTCTCCTTATGAGGAAGAAATGTTGAACTAATTAAACCTATTTAATATGGTTAAAGTACATAAAAAGCTTTGTCAAATAAAGAAATAATAACTATGTTCTATTTGTGTACACATATTTTTATTTTTAAAGTGCAAGTTCTAGAGATTATATAAAAATCTCCAAGAGTCTGTAATGGGGGACGCACAACCCTGGAAACTGGGAAGAGGTCTGAGCTGAGGGTGTGTGACTAGAGACTTTGCCCCCTTGCTAAACATGGCGGCCAGAAGAGGGGCAAAAGCAAACATGGCTGGCACTGTCCTGCATTGGTTGGAAGGCTGGCACTCCCACTGGCTCCCAGTGTGCATGAAATTCTGGGAGAGGATGTTTGAAATGGAGTGTGTCAGAAGGCAAAGACTCAGTTGGTTCTTCCCCCTCCCCTGGGTAGGGGGCATGTCAGTGGTCACCAGCAGGCCTGACAACAGTGGCCAGTGTAGGGCTGTGAGCAGAGGCCTACGGGCACAGACTCAAAGATGCCTGACACTGGACAGCGACTGGAGACCAGCTAAGCCACCTACATTTATGATACCTTTGGGTGGGAGAAGAGGTTCTAGGTGCAACCTTGAACTGAGCTGGCAGAGAGTGATAGGGTGATTTTTCTTTGGGTGTCTTAAGAGGGAACAGTCATTGAGGCAGAAGCTTGCCATTATTTCCAAAGACCTTGATAATAGTCAGCATTGTGAACGGATTTTTGTCCTTGTGTTATTTTCAGTTCTCAAACTTAGGTAGTAGCTGTAATAAGACTATTTTTGATGTTATACTCTGACTTTCTTTCCCCTTACTTTTGTTACCTGGATATTTTAAGCAGATATTTTGCCATCAAATAAAATATTCCTTTCTTTTCCACCGATCTCAGTCTTCGAAGATTTGCCTGGTAGGTGATGAGTGGTAGGACCCCAACCCCCAACCACTGGTTGGGTTCAGTAACAAGTCTACAAAGTTCTGATATACTTTAATTTGTAATTCTAATTGTTATCTTAAAATGTTGTTACAGGAAAGCAAATTCCTTTGTCAATTGCATTATAATCATTTCTGTAACCATGTCATTTGAAATTTTTTTTGTCATTTAGAGACAGTCATTGTTTTACACTGATGCATTTATAAGTATGTTACATCTTCAGAAAGATCCATGGAAAGGTATCTGACTTATTCTAAATTACATATTAATGAAAATTTTCAGATCCTATTTTTGAACTGGATGAAGATTACTAGAACTCTGTGGAATAACTGGATTTATAGAATTACTGGCAAATAATCAGCATAAACAAAAATTGATTATGAGACAATGAACTGAAGATTGTAGTTTTTGTAACTTTTGTTGAAAACATTGTAATTTTTAATCCTTTTGTTTTTCAGATATAAGGGAACTTGTTTTTTTCTTAAAGCAGTTTTGTAAGTTATACTTTCATGAGCAATATTGAGGCATTTATATTTTTCTCCCTACCTGATCCGTCTGGAATTTGGCAACTCTTAATGAGTGAATAGTATTATTTCCATAGCAATATATTTGTTTGCATAGGTTCAAGAGGAATCTGATTTCTTCCTAACAGGACAAACATAGCCAGTTTCCAATTATGGTTTTATTAACCAAGACTTTGACTGGAATATCATGTATGAGAGAGACATGCCAGACTTTGGATGTCAGCAAAAACTTTAAAGAATGAAGGTTGACTTTGAAGCCAGTTCAAGCCCCTTGGAGAGATGGCCTGGTACCTTGCTTATTCATAAGGTTCATGGCAGTCTTTCCAAGTAAAGAATGAATGTTGCTTTTCTGGGAAATGGCAAGGAAGAATCTCAAGAACTTGAGGAACTCACCCAAAGTTACAGGTATTGCAGGCAAAGCCTGATGGCAACTGAGTGGCTTGCCTTCTCTGCCCTCTGGGACTAATTAAAGCTCAATCTGGAAATTCCTTATAAGATTCCAGCAAAGCATATTTAAGAAAGCCTATATAATCATCTGTGATTCCTGTTTTTTTATGCAAATAATCAGGCTGAATTGGAAATTGGACTTAATGCAATAAATGAATTGGTCTTCATTTGGCTCTTTGATAAAAATAAGTGATTTTAGGAGGGGAAATTGTGTTTTAATAGATTCTGTAATACACAGTTATGGACATTAAACTCCATTTAATTGTCTTCAAAGTTTTATTTTTCACTTATGAACAGAACTGGATCCTGAATTTTTCTAGCTTTTGTCCCAATAATATTGAGAACTGTAACAATTTGTCTCCACCAGATTACCAACTCTACTCCTACTCAGGGAATACCACCTCTTGGCACCATTACCACCTTCTTCTGTGCCCAGGCCTCATCACCCCTCTGACAGAGTGCAAGGATCTCTTGGCTCTGCAGGAAAACGATGCCCCCTTTCAGCAGGAAGCAGTTACAGAAAGGATCCTGCACTCCTTTTCCCCGAAAGGATTCAGAACTAAGATCTTTGAAGGGGAAATATGGTAGGCAGTTAGACAAAATTAGAGCAACTATGATAGGCCAGGTACAGAAGGCCACTAAGGCAGAAAGGCTTGGGTGCCTAGAAATGGGCATAGGAAAAAGGAAATGAATTTTTAAGAGGACACATAGGCGGATGGTAAAACAGTGATTACTCAAATAATAAGTGAAGAGGCCCAGGGGCTCCTCTGGACACCTCCCAATCCATCATTATTTCCCCACCGGAGCCCCTGGTACAATTGACAGTGGGGAACAATCTCATTAACTTTTTAATAGCCACTGAAGCCACGTATTCTGTACTGACATCAAATTGACTAAAAACTCCACAACAGTCTTGGTCACAGGGATAACAGGACAAATAACAACAAGACTTCCTCCAGCCTTTAGCTATTTTCATGGATACCACAGGGACTCAGGTCCATATTAGGAAGAATTTAAGTTGAACCATTCTTTTCTTTATAATGCTCGTCTTTATTGTTTTAAACTTCCTTATGACTAGTTTTTCCCACACCAGAAAAATTGTATTTGCTCAACAGGCACCTCTAAAAAAAATGTATTGGCTTTTAACTCACAAGAGTTGCTTTATAACAGGCTCAGGTTGTTTATTCCCCCAGGAGATTCAGAGGAAATCAATAGCTCCAAAGATATGGAGGAAGAATTGACAGAGGGGAATTGTGACAAGGAATGAAAACTTTATACCACTCTGACTTACCATAAAATAGAATAAGATGTACTAATCTAATAAAATAACTCACATACTGACAGTTTCTTTGTAAGCATATTGCACGTGCCAGCAGTTCCAGTTTCTACTTGTACAAGAAATGTCCTCGATCACAACTCTGGGTGACACAAATTGCTGAACTGCAGGAATTTGGGTGGCACTGACCACTTCCAGGATGTTGACATTAAAGATTCATATCAAGACCACCCAAGACACTGACAACATGTCCACAGCCTCTCCCCCTGATCTCTTTGTTCTCCTTGTCCCTCTCCCTCTTTATACAAACCCCTGCCTGCACTGAAATGTTAAGAGGGGCTTTGAGATGAGAGTCCCCCTTCTTCCAGGTTGCTAGCATTTGAATAAAACCTCTTTCCTTTTGTCACCAGCATCTGTCTCATGAGTTTGGCTTTTGTTGAAGCAGGCTGCCAAACCATGGTTTCAGTTACAGGAGGATAGTTTAGCTTCCACCTAATCCTCTGCTATCATGGATTGCATAATATCATTTAAATCAAGGGACTTGCGTTCTTTTCCTGGGAGATACACTCTCCAAAGACCCCAATTGTGGGGCCCTGATATTAGTTGTGAATTCCACATGAAATCATTTTTTTTAACATAAGGCAATGGCAGCTTACAAAGGGCAGTGCATGCGGGTGTCGTTGGACCGTACCTGCATGATCAACTCAGAGATTCTGGGTTGCAGAGAAAACTACTTAAAAAGGTAATTTCCTACTATCATTTCTGAGTGGAGAAAAAGAAAACTTGGAAGGCAGGAAGCATTAAAATGTTTGAAACTAGAGCATAATTATTTTATCCTTGCAATTAAGATGAAATTTTGATGGAAGATATGTCATTTTATCTACTTGTCTTAAACTTTTAAATCCCTTTTATAAAACAGTATAAGTAACAGGATGTGATACTGAAAAAAGTATTGAGCACCTACTCAAACAGAATTGTAAGATACAGTCCCTCAGTGAGCTGACAACGTAGTGGGGAAAGACTGACATGTGACACAGGAGACACATTTGTTCTGAGAAATGATCAATGTGAGCTAGACTAGTGAGGGACAAGCTCTGAGGAGGTGGTAGGACTGGAGCTGAACGTTGGAGATGCATAGGACTGAGAGACGAGGAGGTGATCCCAGGAACCAAGGACAACCTGAGCGATGCCTCCTGTGGATCAGAGGGCTGGGAAGCTGAAATGATTGGCAAAAATAGGCACTAAAATGGGATATGTAAGGTGGGTACTCATATGGGCATTTGAAAGCCAGGCAGAGAAATTTGGAGATAGTCTACTTTTTATCCACAGCATGGTAATGATCTGACTCTAAAACTGCCATTCAATAAGGCATACATTAGTTCATAAAACCCACCTCAAAAAAAAAAAAGCTGACTGTAAGCACCATTCCAAAGTACCTTGAAAGTAAATTACTTTCCTGGAAAAAAGTGGCAAAGTTCTTGTACAGTTAATACTAACCTAGGAGGAAGTGCTTCTGTACAAAGCAGAGTCTACACAAGGGGATCTGTGAAGCTGATGGCATGGTTCCCACCAGAGTCCATTACACTTATGTGTCATTTACTTCAGCAACCCTTCCTCCAAGGAGATGACTAAAATAGACCAGAAAGCTATTAGAGCTATAGTTCTCCAGCTGGGCTTCTTAAAGGGAAATAAACTTATGTGACAAGTCACGTGAGGTTGTAGAGGAATCTAGTCCACATCCAATCCACTCCCAACAGCTTAGAGTCCTTTTCAGTATTTAGTCCCTCAACTCCTTTATTCAAATGTTCATTTCTATGCCCAAGTGCTATGAAACCCATTGTATGCCTTTACAAAAAAAATCACAACTGTAATTCACATGCCATAAAATTCACCCTTTTAGTGGTGTTTAGTGTATTATGCAACCATCACCACTAATTCCAGAACATTTTCATTGCCCTACAAAAAACAAAACAAAACCATGATCCTGCAGACAGAGCTGGGGATGTGCTGACATGGTAAGAACACTTACCTCATGCCAGTATGTGTCGGGTGCTCCAAGATCTCATCTGCAGCAGCCACATGGGAAAGTGCAGGGTTCCAGCCAGTGAGTCTGTCCTGCTCAGCACCAACTGGGGAGGAAGAAAGTTTCTTCTACTCTCAAGGTTCTTTCTGCTAGTCTAATCAAGTAGACATGGGATGGACTGGCAGGAGAGAATAACTAGAAGACACTGAGCTAGGGACAAGGTTAAGTTACCATGCCTTTTTAAACTGTAGTATATAAGATCTTACACCAGAAATCCACACATCTGCTCTTCCCAGGCAGAAATACCTCCAGTGTTCTTTTCCTCTCTACCCCTCTGCTAGTTTGATGAGCTTTAAGCCTAGTTTCCAACTATGTAGAAGACTGATTAACACACTGGGTCATCTTACCTCCATCACTCCCCTTGTAACAGACTTTCAAAACATTTTTTAAAGAATCTATACAATGCAGTCCTCTTAGTTCCCTCCCTTTACCTATACAGGTGACTTATCAGTTATTTAACTTACTACACAGGTCTCTATTGTAATCATGTATTTAAGGAGTAAGTTTTACTGTAAGGGGCTATGTACAACAATTTGGATAGAATGAAAATGAAACTCAGCCACCTCATTGCATGTGTGGAGAAACCATTACCCACAGACACTTTTAGTCAGACTATGAAAGAAGGTCAAGTAGCTATTTAATAATATGCATCAAAGCCTTTAAAATGCTTATAAACTTTGACCCAATAAGTACACTTACTAGACATTATCCAAGAGGAAAAAATGTCCAACAGTAGGGGATGAGTTAAAGAAACTATATCCATAGAGTGGAATGCGGAACAACAACTGAAATTGAGTAGACCTGCCTTTAATGCCATTGGAAAGCATTCATGATCTCTTTTTTATAAATAAAGCAGACTACAAAATAATGCATATACTCAGCAGTCCTATTTTCATAAAACAAAAAATATCTATACATGTGCACCTAGGTAAACAAAAAGTCCAGAAGGCTAACATGTCAAAATTGGGGCTTTTTTAAAAAATAATAAATTCCTGAATTTTATAATCAGAAAATACAACTATATTTTGAAGAAATACTTGCTCTCCAGCAAGAACCTCCCTGTTTATTGTTATGTAAGAATGTTCTTTATTTATAAGTAACTTCCCTTTTTTACTGATGTATTTGTTTAACATTCAGGGCCTGTCTTTTTAAAAAATGTTTTTCAATTACAGTTTCTTCTCAATATTATTTTTATTAGTTTCAGGTGGATAGCAGTGGTTAAACAATCATATACTTTAAAAAGTGTTCCCTGTGATATTTCCAGTACCTACCTGGCACCACACATAGTTATTACAATATTACTGACTATATTTCCAGTGTTATACTTTAAATCCCCATGGCTATTTTGTAACTACCAAACTGTTCTTCTCAATCCTTTCCCCTCCTTCACCCAGTTCCCCAAACCCCCTCCCTCTGGCAACCATCAGTCTGTTCTCTGTACCTATGAGTCTGTTTCTATTTTGTTTGTTCATTTATATTGCTCTTTAGACCCCATGTACAAGTGAAATCATATGGTATTTGTCTCACTGACTGACTTATTTTACTTAGCATAATACCCTCTAGGTCCATCCATGCTGTCACAAATGGTAAGATTTCATTCCTTTTTATGGCTGAGTAATATTCCACTGTATATATTTGTATGTATCACCACTTGTTCATCCACTTGTCTATTGATGGGCACTTGGGTTGCTTCCATAGCTTGGCTATGGTAAATAATACTGCAATGAACATAGGAGTGCATATGTTCTTTCAAATTAGTGTTTTGGGTTTCTTCAGATAATATATCCAGAGTAAAATTCTTGGGTCATAAGACAGTTCCATTTTTAATTTTTTTGAGGAACCTCCATACTGTTGTCCATGGTGCTTGCACCAATCTTCATTCTCACCAACAGTGCATGAGGGTTCCCTTTTCTCCATATCCTGACCAACAGACATATAGGGATCAATGGAAGAGAATAGAGAGCCCAGAAGTAAACCCACACCTATATGGTCAATTAATATTTGGCAAAGGAGGCAAGAACATACAATGGGGTAAAGACAGTCTATTCAATAAATGGTGTTGGGAAAAATTAGAAATCTGTAAAAAAAATGAAACTAGACCACCTTCTCACACCATATACAAAAAGAAACTCCAAATGAATTGAAGACTTAAATGTAAGACTCAAAATCATAAAACTAGAAGAAAACATGGGCAGTAAAATCTTGGACACTTCTCTTAGTAATTTTTTTGTGATATGTCTCCTCAGGCAAGGGAAACAAAAAATTAAATTCATTCACTTATCAAATATATATTGAGTAGTATGTGCCAAAAGTATGCTTTCATGCTCTCAGGAGCTCAAATTCTAGCAGGGAAGGCAGACAAGCAATCACCGTAAGGTGACATGTGGGTTAAGAACATGTCAAGAACAGGACAGGACGTCCTGAGTGGAGAAGACTTCTGTCCCTAATGGCTTTAGCTATACCCATGGTTGCCTTATTTGTTCTAAATTCATGAGGAGAATCTTAAAAGATAAGCTGAGGTACTCGATGAAACAACTAGAGGGCGGTTTTCTTTCTTTGGTATCCCCCACCCTACTTCAAACCCAAAGGGCTCAAAACTTAACATGTGTTTGCTGCTCTCATCCTTCACCCAGAAGAACAACTCCTCCCATCTGTTTCCTAACTCAGCGTACTGGAGCACACCCAGATTTGCAGGTACCCCTCCTCTCTTCTCACCCTCCAGCTTTTGAGTAGTAAGTGCTATCAGCTCTTCCTCCTTTATGCTCCTTATGCCCATTGCTGGATCTTTTTTTGTCAGCCATTATTTCTTATTTAGGCCTTTGCAATAAGCTAACATCCAACCTCCCAGCTTCTACCCCTCATTACTGATTTCTTAAATACAAATCCCATGATGCCATTTCGAGTACTTTACTTTAAAAGTCATGTTCGTCTTTGAAGGTGACAAAATTCAAAACCTTTAGCATGACTCAGAAATCTTTTTGGGCCCTGGCCGGGTTACTCGGTGGGTTGGAGCATTGTCCTCATAAGCCAAGTGGTTGAGGGTTTGATCCCTGGTTGGGGCACACACAGAATGAGTGGAGCAACAGTTGGTGGTGTTCTCTCTCTCTCTCCCGCCCTCCCTCCTTTTGTCTCTCTCTCACTCCCTCTCTCCAAAATCGGTAAATAAAAAAATTAAAAAATTAAAAATCTTTTTTGCAAGGTGGCAAACACCTCTCCTGTCTTGTCTCACATGCAACCTCTTCTCATAGGGCATGTCTCATGTCTCTGCACATTCCATTCTTCCTATGATCCTGCTCCCTCTTCTAGGTTAACTGCTTACTTCTAGTCTCTCAAAGCACAATTCAAATGTCTACTCTCTTTTTGAAGCCTTGGCTGAATCCCTGAGCCTCCTTCCTCTAGAATTAATCACATTGTCTTGTAAAGCGTCTGCTCAGGTACCTGTCTCTTCCGTAAGGCTGTGAACTCACTGGGGAGAGGACAATGTCTTCCTCCACACCTAGGGAATACCTGAATCGGAGAGTAGCCAATGTTTAATGAACGGAAGATTGAATAAGTAGACTCAACAATGTTCTTGGGGACTACTACACAAGAGGCAAGAGGCCTTCCTTGCCACCGAACTCCACTCAGGTGCTGCGCCCATTCTCCCCTCCCCTTGCGCCCAACACTGTGTCGGTGCCTGTGCAGCAATGGCCTTTGAGCAATACACAGCAAGTGGGAGAGAGGGAGAGAGTCTGAGCTCTAATTTTAAGGGTGGATCCTTATTCACCTTTGAAATAGTTTCAATTGTCTGGGATTCAATAAAACTAGTTTAAGTATTTTCACCAATGCCCTTGCTGAATGAAAGTTGGGCTGGGAACCTTGGGAAAGCATCCAGAGGATTAGGGGTTAAATTGTTTCATCGCAGTGCCAAAGTTTTCCATTTTAAGTAGCAAAAGTCTGCCGGGACTGTGAACTCTAAGTATGTGTACATTGATTCAACTTATTTTCGAGATATGAAACACACACTAAAAAGCACACGTAATGGCTTCTACCTGCAGCTGAGGGATCCAGGCATCTTTTCAGCCTCCCTGGAATGCCCCGTAGCGTGGCTCTTGGACACCCTATTTGGCCCCTTCTCCCGGGACGTGGATGTTCAGCAGTAGACTCAAGCCCCGCCTTCCGGCGTCTGCCAGGGCTTCGGCGGGAGGGGCCCGCCACGTGGAGCGAGGACCAGATTCTCAGAGGGCTTCTCCGCGGTTGCCGTGGCGCAGCTCCGGCTCAGCCCCTTAGCCCTACGTCAACAGCGCTGGCCCGGCGGCCTGGCTTTACTCCTACGCAGCTGACGTAACGTCATCTTGCGGGACGTGGACGGAAGAAAAAAGAGTAAGCCGGCGCCAAAATCGTCCCCGCGTGGACTTCTGGATGGGAAGTGAGGCCGGGCGCGGCAGCGGCGAGTCAGGTACGTGGCAGGCGCGGGGATGGCGAGGCACCTGCGCCTCTGCGAGGGTTGTTGCGGCGCCTGGGCCGAGGCGGGGAAACGTGGGCGCACCGGGCCGCGGGAGCGCCGCACAAGCAGGAGCCGGGTGGCCGGGTCCCACGAGTGGGCGTGGGAGCTCGCGCAGGGATAGCAGCGGGCTTAGGGTGCGCAGCACGGCCCCGGCGCTGTTCTTATTGACCTTGTGGTGGAAACCAGGGTTGCGGGGTCCTAGGGCACCCGACCTTCCTGGCCACCGAAATGGAGGAACTGGTCCAGATGGACGTTTGGAGACTCGGTGGACCCCTTCTCGGTCCATTGCACCTGCCTCGGTTCGATGTTTTACCCTGGTTTGTAAGTGGCAACACAATGACTCTCAGGCGCCTGTGTGTGTAGTCCCCCTTGGCCCGCCTGGCTTTCGTGATCCCCTCCTCAAAACCAGGCCGCCCCGCAGCTGAGGAATCGGCTCTTGACTGCATTTTACAAAATGACGTGCGGTCAGTGAATAGTCCTGACACGTCAGGCAGCACCTGCTGCCCCCATTGTCCCCGGCTCTCTAAGGCAGTGAGATTTATCGTGGGGTCTTTGTTTTTAAGTGAACCATATGCCGATCCTGTATTTCTGGGCGAAGTTTGTTGGGACTAAAGTCCAAGTCTCCGTCCAAATCGGTAAGATAAGGGCGTCCTGTTTAGACCCTATAAAGAGGTACTTAAGAAATGTCCTAGTCAAAACATGGAAACTCTTTTCAACTGATGACGTTGAGTCTAGACACCACACACTATACCCTTTGCTCCCTGGAATCAGCTCTCCATAATGAACGCTTTTGGAGAGTATAATAAACTCTGACAGGATGTACCATTCCTTGCAGTCAGGAAGGGGTCAGTCAGAGGCAGTGTGGTATAGGAGAGAGGCCAGGAGGCTTGGTTTCTAGCTCACTTTTCATTCTAATAACTTAATGATCTTAAATATTCAGAGCTTTCAATTACTTTTAGATAAGAGAGGGATAAAGTCAATAAGTATAATTTATGACTATCTCCATCATAGAATATTTATTGAATTCTTTGTGGCTGTGGCAGGTCCTGAAGGAAAGAAAGAATTGTAAGATACCATTAGTGCCCAAAAGACAGAAGGAGAAAAACTGACATTTATTGACCATCTGTTACGAACAGGCATTCCATGCATTAACTCATTTAATTCTCACAATAATCTTATGCGGTCCTTACTGTTCCTGTCCCTGATTTACAAATGAAGAAACTGAGGGTTAGAAAGATTAAGTAACCCTCCAAAATGCATACAGCTAGCAAGTACAAAGCTTCAACCCAAATCTATCCCACCTTCAAAGCCCCTGTTCCGGTAATGTGTACAGTGCTGTCAGTGGGAGATTTATAATCTCGTTGAGAAAAGCATGAACCAGTTCAAAGGTAAACTGTAGGATTATGCCCAACTTTGAATGCTGAAGTGACTGGGGAAGGTTCCTGAAGGAGATGGAACTGGAATTTTAGTGTCACTACTTGATTATTTTACCATTTTGGCTCTTCTACGAGTATTTTGGATAATTCATAAGGAAATAATTGGCAACAATCACTGAAAGAATTTATATAAGAAGCAAACAGACCATGGACCCAAATCATGCTTCAATATTATGAAAATAATTTTCTCTTGGGATCTTTCAGACTGTCACAAACACAGAAGTCAAAAAAGACAGCACTTAGCACTTCTGTCACCTATTAGATGCCATATCTTTTACACCAGATGTATCCTGCCAGTCTCTTCTCTCCCCTTTCTGTCTGTGCCTTTGTGTGGTATAAACTAAAGAACAGTACATGCCACTCCTTATTTCTCTTCACTATGGGCCTAAATGCTAGTCTTCGAGGCACATTTAAGAGGGTTGAAATATCTCCACCAATCCGTACAGCATAGGTTAAAAGGAGGCTCCAGCTAGCAAAAAAGGTGCAGTATTTTTCTTATCTTGTGAAAGCAGCAATATTCCAGCTGCAATAGTAAATGGTGTATTCTGTGTGTGTGTGTGTGTGTGTGTGTGTGTGTGTGTGTATATGAAGGAGCCCCCTACCTTTTTGTGAAATATATTATTTTTTGTCCAAAGCCTCAAGTTTGACCCCGGGTGGGAAAATGCCCACAACCACTACGTTCTTAACTCAGGTGTTTAGCCATGTACTCATCCTCCTTGGGTTGTGTCCAGTCATTTCAAATGCCAGACATCTGCAGACATTGCACCTCCTTCCCCAGGCAGTAAGAGTGCACTTTAGATTCTTGTGGATGGCAGGAAGAAAGATGTGGCTGCAGCCTCTGGCCTTTCTTCCCTCTTCTTGTGTCTGCGAGGATCAGGCTGACAGTTCAGTTGTGTGGTTTTCAGAGTTTTGTTGGGGGTAATAATAGGAGGGTGGAGATCACTCTTGCTGGATATTGGATCTGCTTTTGATCTTTTGGAGACTGATTCCTCAGTAGTAAAGGAATTGTAGTGAAGATTTAGTATCATTGCATAATCACTATACCTTGAAGATTTTTTCGTCACTCAGAATACTCATAATCCTCAATTGCCGCTTGCTTCCATAAAAACTAAGGCTGTCTAGGGAAGGGAGGGTTGAGATGGAGCATGGGAAGAAACCATTTATTTTTTCTCTCCTTTCTACACTATACAGAGAAGGTAGGCATTCGCCTAATACACTGGAGTTTGGAGCGGGGGTGTCAAATTTTTACTCTGAGTGTGGGGAAGTAGAGGAAAAGAAAATGAATTGTGTAGTATTTTTCATTATTCAATTTTTTAAAAATACATCCTGCAGGTACTTTGATCAGTGACCACATTACAACATGTTGAGTCAAGTCTGCTGCTCTGGCTTCCAGCTCCTCAGGCACCGTCTGCTGCCCTGGGCCCAGCCCACAGCTCCCTCCAGACTGTGTAGGTACCATGTTGTGTATATACCATGGCTTAGCAGTGTGTGGGGAGTTCGGTTGGAGTGTATTTCAAACGGTCTTAAAGGAGGGGAAAAATATAAAATGGCAGGATTGGGCAAAGACAGTAAGGAAGGAAGCAGCCTGCTGGTGAAATGTTCTGTGTTTGTTTTTATTAAGAAATTGAGACTTTTGGACAAAATATGTCATAGAATCTGGTGATTGTCTTACATGTACGGTATATACTTATCTTCAGACTCATCAAGTTGTATACATTAATTTTTACAACTTATTGTATGTCAAATAAGTAATTCAAAATGAAAACAATAATTTAAATAAAGTGCTACCTATATTCATTCCCCAAAATTTTTATAGGCTATTTTTGTTATTACTTTGTTATAATTATTTTAATTTTGAGATCATTATAGATACACTTGCAGTTACAAGAATTAATACAGAGACATTCCTTATACCCCGTACCCAGTTCTCTCAGTATCTCAGCCAGGATACTGACATCGATAGAGTCGAGATAAGAACATTTCCATCACTATATGATCCGTCAGGTCTCTCCTTTCTGGACATGCCCTTCCTCCCTGTCTCTAACCCTGGCAACTTCTACTCTGTTCTACATTTTTATAATTTTGGCCTTTCAAAAACGTTATCTAAATGGAATCATACAGTATGTGAGCAGTGGGGATGACTTTTTTTGACTCAGCATAATTCTCTGGAGACTCTTCAACATGTCTGTATAAACATGTTCCTTTTTCTTACTGAGTAGTGTTTAATGGTGTGGGTGCACCACAGTTAGTGTAACCGCTCGCACATGGAAGGGCACCTGGTTCCCGTTGTTTGACTGCTATGAATAAGGCTGCTGTGAACATTTGTGTGCAGGATTTTGCATGAACACATGAACACAGTTTTCATTTGTTTGGAATAAATGCCCAAGAGTTCAATTGCTGGGTCATATGGTAGTTAGTTTTCAAGAAACTGTAAAATTGTTTTTGTAGAATGGCTATACCTTTTTACATTCACACCAGCAACATAAGAGTTTTCCACTTCTCCATGTCCTCACCAAAATGTGATGTCGTCACTCTTTTATTTTATGCATTCTGATAGGTGTGTGGTGACATCCGACTGTGGTTTTAACCTGCTTTTCCCCTAATGGTTATTGATGTTAAACATCTTTTCATGTGCATATTTGCCATTTATATATTCTACTTCAGTGAAAGGTCATCTGCTCATTTGTAATTGGATTGTTTGTTTTTTTGCTCTTAATTTTTGAGAGTATTGTATTATTGGATACTAGTGCTTGATCAGCTATATTGTTTGAAAGTATTTTCTCCCGGTTTGTAGTTCGTCATTTCATTCTCTTAACAGGATCTTTTACAGAGAAAAGTTTTTTGTTTTGCTTGCTTTTATTTTGATGAGGGCTAGTTTATCAGATTTCCCTTTTATGGATTATTCCTTTGGAGCCAAGTCTAAGAACTCTTTGTTTAGCCCTAGATCCTGAAGATTTTCTTTCTTTTTTTAAGGTTTTACAGTTTTACATTTAAGTGCACGATCATTTTGAGTTAATTTTCGTATAAGGTGTGAGGGTTAAGTCAAGGTTCATTTTTTTGCTTACGGATGTCTAGTTGTTCCAGCACCATTTGTGGAGAGGCTGTTTATTATAGTTTGAGTTGGCTGTCTGCTTGATAACACCTGATTTTTCTGAACATTCTATCTCCAAACCTTACCACAGATGACTTGCTTATCAACTAATCAAGCTTATTACCATTAGAAAAAAATCTC